AGAACTGCACATGAGGGCCCCACCCTGAGAGACTGATACTATACAACCAAGTTCAGGCACTGCACCTTTTCTGAACCACCCTCCTGCATGTCAGGGTGCAGGTTCCAACCCATTCCAGGGGTGGGGGGATGGGGGTTCTGGGCCCTGCCTGAGAACCAGTTCTCCTCAGGCCACAGAGGGCCCGGAGCCCCTGAGCAGAGCAAGGGCCCCCACAGTGGCCGGGCTGGATTTTCCTCAGGATGGGAAGGCATGTGGCTGCTGCCTCAGCACGAGGTCACCTGCGCTCCCTTCCTCCCTGGGGAGGGCACAGCTCCCCGTGGCCCCTCAGAAGCCACATAATTGCTGCAATCACATACAGCTGCCTTGTGGCCTCTATGCCCTGCAGTAACCTCTCCATGGTGGCACAGAATTTCCACATTGCTTCCTGCCTTGTAACCCTGCCAGGGCTCCCGCTGCCTGGAGAACAAGGTCTGTACCCACAGCCCTGCACTCTAGACCCTTCCTGGTCGGCCTCCAGGGCCTGCTTATCTGCTCATATGCCCATTTCTAGCAGTGTTCAATCCCTTACAATTCCCCAGACAATTCACACAGTCTCAGATTGTCTATCCATATGGTTCCTTCCGTTAGGAAAGTTCTTAGTTTTCTAATTTACTGGAAAACTCCTATTCAACCTTTAAAACCCAGTTTAAGAACATGAGTTGGTAAAAAAATTTTTTTCTGTAAAGGGCCAGGATAATATTTCAGGATTTATAGACCATATGATTTGTGTTGTGGTGATTCAACTCTGCTGATGCAGAAAGGATACACATATGGAAACAACTGGTGTGGCTATGCTCTAATAGAACTTTGTTTTTAAGGCTAGGCAGAGTGGCTCATGCCTGGAATCCCAGCTACTCCAGAAGCAGAGCCGGGAGGATAGAGAATTTAAGGCCAGACCAAGCAGAGTTAGTGAGACCCTATTTCAAAAACAATACAAAACAAAAGGGCTAGGGGTGTGTGGTTCAGGTGGTAAACCACGTGGCTGCCTATGTGCCAGGCTGGTTCAATCCCTAGTACCAAGAAAACAAAACAAAACTTTGTGGTATTGTACGCATGCACGTGTGTGTGCGCGCGCGCGCGTGTGTGTGTGTGTGTGTGTGTGTGGCGCGTGTGCGCGTGTGCTGTTACTAGGGTTTAAGCTCGGCTTACTTGAATCATGCCCCAGCCCTTTTTGCTTTTTACATAGGGACTTGCTAACTTTTGCCTGGAATGAGCCTCAGACCATGGTCCTCCTACCTCTGCCTCCCAAGTAGCCAGGATCACAGCTGTGTGTCACCACACCCAGCGTGGAATGATTCTCCTGCTGTGATGATTAAACAGAATGGTGATCATCTTATTGTTGATTATTTGGATTTCTGCAATGGCCTCTGTCTTGCCTTTACAATCCATTCTCACAGAACAGAGATGGTCTGTTAAAATTTAAGTCTGAGCAGGCCACTCCCATGCCTCCCTACTTCCCTAGGAGTGAAAGTCAAACACCATCTTAAAATGACCTACACGGCTGGAGGCATATGACTTAAGTGGCAGAGCACCTGCCTAGCAAGCACCAGGCCCTGAGTTGAAACCCCAGTACTAAACAAACAAAACTATGGTCTACATGTTCTTCAGGTCTGACCCTCTGGCCCTCCTCTAATCCCTTTGACCTCTAACTACTACAGCCCACTACCTTGCTCACTCTACTCCAGCCCCAGTACCTCCTTGCCTTTCCAGAGAAAAGCCTAGGAGGTTCCTGCCTCAGGGCCTGGGCTCCCTCCATCTTGAACTCCTCTCCAGGTGATCCACCTGGCTCCCTCCCTCAGCTGCACAGTGTCTATCTAAATGTCTCTTTCCTCAGTGAGTTCTTTCCTGGCCACTCTATTTCAGACTGCAGGGGTGCGGGCATAGTTCAGGGGTAGAACACTTTTGTAGCACTCACAAGGCTCTGAATTCCACCCTAGTGCCACACACACACATCAAATAATTAAATTACAGTCATTCTGATTCTCCTCCCTGCTTTTATTCCATAGCACCCGACAGCCTCTAACACACTGGGTACTGCCTCCAACTCTGTAGTTATGAGAAGGCTGAAGTGCACAGAAAATGGATGAACTAGTGCGGTGGCATGTGTGCGCCACCCAAGTTCACACTTGAGGTGTTTAGTTTGACAGGAGGATGCTGACCTAGGACACCGCAGCCAAGACCTTAACAAAATGCACTCTGGTTTCCTGCTCCATCTTGTTTATTGCCTGGCCCCTACTGAAGGCTACAGGTTGGGGAAGGAACCAGACAAGGTTCGATTGTGGTTCTGCCTCTCACTGACTTTGGTAGATCCAAAGTCAGTGATCACTTCCTCTGGTAGAACCTCAGTATCTCCATCTACAAAGTGGGGAAGTGGTACTACTTCTTCCGGCTGTGTGAGGATCAAAAAGTGCTGAGTGACTGGAGCTGTGGCTCAAGCAGTAGAGCACCTGCTTTGTAAGCTCTAAGCCCTGAGTTCAAACCCCAGTCCCATGAAAAAAGCAAACAACAACAAAAAAAGCCAAAAAAAAAAAAAGTTAATTTTAAATTTGCCAGGCATGAGTGACTCATGCTTGTAAATCGTAGCACTCAGGAAGCAGAGAGCAGGAGAATGGCAGTTCGAGGCCAGCCTTGGGCAAATAGTTTGCGAGACTCTATCTCAAAAATACCCAACACAAAACAGGGCTGTCAGAGTGGCTCAAGTTACCACTTGCACGTAGAGCACCTACCTAGCAAGTATGAGGCCCTGAGTTCAAACCCCAGTTCCACCAAAAACAAAACAAAACCAAACCCACAAAAACCATCAGTGCTACCCAATCCCCCAACATATCCACCACCGTCTCTTCACTCAGTTAACAGGTTAACAAAATGTCCACCAGATTCCTAGGGAAGGGATGCTTAACTTCATCAGGAGCTGAGATTCTATTTTTTTGCATTTTTCCCGGAGATCTTTGAGCGCTTCTGATTTGATTGGTGCAGACTTCCTGCCTTTCTGTATCTCCCGTTTGATTGTGTCTGTGTTGACAGATTTGCCTTGTATCCCCCCCTTGAACTCAGGGCTTGTGTTTGCAGACGGACAGGACTTAACCTGGGTTTTCCTGGGTCAGATTGCATGGCAGTGGGTGGAAAGCCTTGTCTTTCGCAAGCTCCCTGATAACCATCACCCTAACTTCACTTGTTTGGGGTGTGGAGGGCAGCATATTTTCATTAGGAATTTCAAGTCTTTGACCCTTTCTCTCAGATCCAAGCTGAAACTCTTGAGTAAATGTTAAATCTTAGTTTAAGGGAATAGTTTCCCCACCTATAAAAAAATGGTGACAAGATTAACCTACCCAAACCGAAGTCTCTTTGTATCTGGTAAAGCTCTGTCCAAATACTAGTTACTATGGTTAGTTTTATTAACCTGCGTAATTTTTTTAAAAAATTTTTGGAAATGGTCTGTTAGCCCAGGCTGGTCTGGGGTTTACCATCTTCCTGCCTCGGCTCACAAGTGTGTGCCACCTTGCTCAGCTCGGTGTAGCTTCTTCACTACACGTCCCAGGAAAATATGACTGAACTACTTCACATGCACGGCTCACACCTGTAATCCTCGCTGCTTGGGAGGCTGAGATTGGGAGGATCAAGATTCCAGGCCAACTTGGACAAGTAATTTGCAAAACTCCAATCTCCACAGTAACCAGATCAAAATGGAATGGAGGTGTGGTTGAAGCTTTGCAAGCATTGAGCCTTGTGTTCAAAGCCAGTCCCGTCAATAATAATAATAATAGTAAACCCTGGCTGCCCCCGGAGGCTGAGATTGGGAGGATCAAGATTCCAGGCCAACTTGGACAAGTAATTTGCAAAACTCCAATCTCCACAGTAACCAGATCAAAATGGAATGGAGGTGTGGTTGAAGCTTTGCAAGCATTGAGCCTTGTGTTCAAAGCCCAGTCCCGTCAATAATAATAATAATATAATAATAATAGTGAAACCCTGGCTGCCCCCCGGCTGGGCGCTTGTGTGTTTGGTGGACTGAGATTCGTCCAGGCCTAGGCTGCGGGATCTGTGCGAGAGGGGAAGGGACCGCTGGTCAAAAGCAAGTGGACATGGACTAAAACCGCCTCGGGCTTCTGCCCAGCAGCCGCTTCACCAGCACCCTTCATCTTAACGACTGCTTTGTTGAAACCCTCGTCCGCAGGTCCAAGGATTGACCTATCTCGGCCATCACCACCCCGGGAGGCTCACAGCGACCATTCGCTCAAACCTCTACAGGAAGTGCTAAGACAGTTCCCGAGATTGACTCGAGGCGTTCTTGAGGTTCGCCTGAATACGACGAATAATCTTCTGGCACTACACTACTCTACTTACATTAATTTTTTATTGGTTGTTTAGCTGCAATTTTTTTTTTTCGGTACTGGGGTTTGAACTCAGGGCCTACACCTTGGGCCACGAGATAGGGTCTGTAAACTATTTGCCCGGGCTGGCCTCGAACCGTGATCCTCCTGATCTCTGCCTCCTGAGGAGGTAAGATTACCGAATTCGAATTGATCTGGAGGTCCCTACATCTGGCAAGCCTAGCTTGAGAGAATCCGGAAAAAGTTAAAGCAAGTTCCTCCCTGTCATGCCCTCTGCCTTTGCTGGTTTTATTTTTATCGTTATGAGCTGTTATTAAGGCGGGTTTACTAGACGCCGAGAAAACTCAAGCAGGACTCCCGTCCCCATCCACCTGTCTGCCATCCGCCCCTCTGAAGAGGACCTTCCGCCCCACAGAGACATGGCCGCACTCCGCCTCCGAGGATTGGCTCCTGTAGAAAGTCCGTCCTCCCTCGGAGGCGGGAGCTCCTTCCATTGGGCAGTTGGCCAAGATGGCGGAGCCCCGCCTCCTCTAGTCCTCTCGCGCAGGGCTCTTGGCTCGGAGGTGGGGCCACCGCGGCGTCCGGGGCACGGGCTCTGGTCATTGGCGGAGGATGGCGGCCGGCCGTCACGTGGCCTTGGGGCGCATTTTTTGCGGAAGTAGGAGGAGGTAGCAGTGCTGCGTAAACGAGGTGAGTGACGGCGCAGGGGGGCGGGGCCTGGGGCCCTTCCCAAACCTCTTCAGAGACCCAGATTTCGTTGTCTCCACCTGGACCCTCCTTTGGATCTTCCTTGTGTCTCTGATTCTGAGGCATGTCCGCCATTGACCCTTGTCTGGCTTCCCGAGTGCCCTGTTACTCCTGTTCTTTGATCTCCCAGCGTGCCCAACTCCCATCCATGACCGCTCTTTCTTATCTCGAGCTGTGTCCCCCCAGAGGCCCAACCTGGCGGGTGGGGAGGTTCCCTACAATGTCCCTCAGTATCCCTTTCTGAATCAACCCTAGTCCCAACTGTGAGTGCCTCCAACTTCACTCTAGGACTCATGGTTGTCCGAGGGCTCCCGGTTTTCTGCCTCAGTTACTCCTACGGGATCCCCTAGTTGAGCTGTCTCCTGCATGCCTCCTGTGTGCTTTCCCTGTACCCCAATTCTCATTCCCCGCCTCGTCCTGTTTATCCTCATGCACCGGTAGATTTCACTTGCTTCCCACATGCCTCCTTCCCCACAGCCCAGCCATCCCAGAGTCTCCCTACCCCCAATCCGTTGTCCACTTCCTGCTCTCACAGATGACCTGGAAGCTGGTGACAGGGAGCGTGTGACCAGGGTAACCACATGACTGAGCCAAGCCTTGGATGTGCAACAGGGAGGGCACAGGGCTCATGGATCTGTGCCCATTTTTTTTTAATGGGCTACCCACATGACCTCAAACAAATACTGTCTCTTCCTCAAGCTTCTGGGCCTTTCTCTCACCTGCCCTTTTACCAGTCAAACAGGATGTTAGGCAGGTTTGGTTTGGCAACATTGAAGCTCCACCCTTGAGCTGAATGCAGTGTTTTTGTTATTGTCTCTGCTTTAAAATGTTCCTGGAGTTTGGAGGCTATTTTCTGCCCAAGTCTCAGTTTCCTCATCTGTGGCAGGGGGACTCTTTCACGCCCACTTAAGGTGCCATGAGGTTCAATAGTTGGGTGAGAAAACATGGAGGGCAAAGCTTTGTAGCCAGTGTGGCCTCATGTCTTGGGCAGGATGGAAAGGAATGGAAAAAAAGGGAAAGGGGAGGAGAATGATAAGACGGGAGAAAGAGGAACAGAAGGTGCATTGTGTTTCATTTATCATTTGGCAGTGTGTTTAATCACTTCCTATGAATGAAGCTCTTTTATATGTGGTATCTTTACCATTCATTCATTTTTCACTGAGCAGATATTACTCTAATATGCTAGGCTACCGTTGATGTAGTCAGTGTTGCTGTCACTTAACACGAGGAAGAGAGGGCAACTGAGTTGCCTCAGAGTGATGAGTTTGGAGCTAGAATAGGAATACAGTGGAGAGGGCCCCCAATTTACAATGGCTTGACTTGAGTTTTGGACTTGACAGTAGTGTTAAGGGGATATGAATTTAGCAGAAGTTGTACTTTGGGTTTGAATTTAGATTTTTTTCCTGAGCTAGCAAAGCTTGGTTTGATCCTCTCCATGCTGGGCCCTGTCACTGTGTGATCATGGCGGAAACAACAGACCCTGGACAGTGTGTCATGTTGCTAAGTGTTGATGTTAGGCATAGTCAAAGCAGTTTTGAGTTAGGATTGACTTATGATGCAGATTTATTGGAGTATAACCCCATCATCTCTACTGTGCAATGTGACAGACACCTGAGCCTGTGTGATTGTCATTCTGTGGAAGGATTACTACTGTTGTCTCAGTGCTCAGGGGTTTGTTTGTTTTTTTCCTCTTTCTTCCATGGACTACTTTCTTGTGAGAAATTTCCCAAAAGGATATTTCCTTTTCACTCAGCAGAGTGGTGTCACAAAGAAGTAGAGAAAGGAGGAACTTAAGCATTGTGTGTGTACACACCTGCCCTGGGTCTTTGTGAAGGGAGAGAGGGAGCAAGAAGGCTGCAGTGAAGGGAGCAGTAGGCACTTCACTTTGTAGAGGTGATGCCCTGAGAGAACGTGTTTTGTGTTTCTTAGTGGATTTTATAGGTCTGTGCTTTAAATGCCACTTCTCTCTTTTGCCCAGCCCCCTTTTCTGGTGATTCATTCATTCTCACAGCTTTAAGGGCCATCTCTACCATAAATTACCAGTTTTATTTAGTTAGTTATTTCCAGTCCTGGGGAGAGGAACCCAGGGCCTTGTGCATGTTGGGCCAGCGCTCTGCCACTGAGCTACAACAACCTTCAAATTTGTGTCTGCAGTGTAATCCAGATCTTTCTTCTGGATGATAGACTCACATGTCTCACATAGTTGCTCCTTCAGCACCTCAAATTTAAACATTTCAAACTTAAAGTATGAAGAGTTGAGCTTCTGCTGTCTGTCCCCTCCTTCTGTTATCTCATCTCTCCCCAAAACCTGACCATCCCATTCTCTCTCCCCATCTTAGGAAAGGGCACTATTCTCTCAATTGCTCAGACCAAAGCTGTGAGATTCTTCTTGATGCCTCTTTTCCCTACCCCACACCCACCCAGGGATCTCTGTTAAAATGCTGTTCCTTTGCTCTAAGCCCTGTAGTGGCTCCTCTCGCTGCACCTGCCTGGCCCCCTGGGACATCTTTGATCTCACTGGTTTTCTTGCTGTTTGAGGAACTCACTGGGCATGCTCCAGCTCCAGGCTCTGTCCTTGTTCTTCTCTGTGCCCAAAAAGTTCTTCCTTTACATAGCCATATAACTTTCCCCCTCTCTTTCTTCAGGTATTTATCCAGGCCTGGTTCTTGGTGAGGACTTCCCTATCTAAAATTTAAATCTCCATTTCAACATCATCTATGCCCCTTCTCTAGTCAGCAGCTAATTGGTATCTAAAAACCTATGAATGTATTTTGCCTTTTTATCTTCTTTATTATTTGTAGTCATCCCTAAAATAGAAGCCTCAGCGGGGAGGGGCAGAGATTTTGTCTGTCTGGTTCACCACTGTCTCCTTAGCAGTTAGAACAGTGCCTGCCACAGTCAGCCGTTGATAAATATTTGTGGAGTGAATCATAAAATAAGCACCTATTCCTTGCCAGCAGCCAAGGAGCCCCCTGGCTGTCCTTGTTCATGTCTTTGGGAACCCTAGCAACCCTCTTGGGGAAGTTTGCTCCTGCCGTTCTCTGGTCAAGAAGCATGAACAGAGATGCCTTTTCCATTTGAAATAGTATCTTGTCCAGGTATGTGTGAACCGCAGTGTTTTTAGATGGAGGCCTGGACTTTTAGGATCCCAGAGATTGAAAGCGGTGTAAGCACTGCTGCTTCAGTTTCCAGCTCCCTGGGTTCAGATCCTGGCAATTACCTGGCCCGCCATGCCTCAGTTTCCTGTGGTAACGTGCGAGAACAGCCTTCCAGAAGTGTGATGGTAATTCACTTGCATGTGGGTGTCTCGGGCTCTGTGGTGCAGGATGGAGGCAGCCATGCTGTTGGGATGGCAGGCCCTTAGTCTGGGCTGCTCAGGAGTCAGGAAGAAGGCAGGTGCCAGCCCCAGGCAGGACACCCCACTTCCTATATCTGGGCCTCGCTTTCCCCATATGCCAAGCAGGGATGATAATTGCACCTTGCCTGCTTCTTTGTGAGCTCAGCAGTTGCTGACAGATGTGAAATCCCCACACTGACCATAGGATGGGTGGCCTTGTGAGAGGGAGGGGCCAGCATCTGTTGAGAGCACCAGTGCTGGGTGGTGCGATGTGACAGCTGCAGGAAGGAAGTCCAGGTGATGGCAGGTCTAGTGCTGTGTGATCAGACCCCATGTCATCAGCCTGTTGTTGTCATGGAGTGACAGGCAGCATTAGCTGCTCAGGAAGGAGTCGCTGTCTGGCTGCTGGGACCAGCATTTGTTCCAGTCATGGGACATCCTGTCGTAAGCTAAGTGGTGGGCCTCGTGAGGCCTGATTTCCACTGTGGGCAGTTCTGTGTGTTCTTATGTGTGCCTGGAACCTCATGTGGCTGTCCTCTGAGGTCTGCCTGGCCTGCTGCCTTTGCCCGTTTTACACACTCCGAGCAGCTGTCATGCCCCTCTGGCCATGGCTCACCCAAGGAGGAAGTCCAGGCTGGAGTGTTTTCCCTGCTGGTCATGTACCTGGTGCACCTGATGTCCCTGAAGTGATCATTGCAGACCTGCCCTGGGGGGCATCTGCCAGTGGTAATGGGGAGCGCTGTCCCAGGGACAGGAAACAGGTAGACTTGAGCCCAGACTTTTGTGGTGGAGAGAAGAGTGTGGCACATAGGGGATCCTCATTGTCACCTGCCAGGGAATGGGGTGGGGAGAGGCCAGGGGTGCCAGCTGGTGGGCTCGCAGAAGTTCAGTCATTTGTTCTCACCCATACATTCACCTGACATTCATTAGTCATCTGTGTGAGTGAGGAGCTGAGCGCTCAGGGAAGGCCTGAAGGGGAGGCCATTGAGGTCCCACAGACTATTCCCTCCAGAAGAGTAGGGAGGACAGCTGTACCTGGCATTGGCAGATGAGTGACCTCCAGAGGGCGGGAAAGGGACTGCCTAATACCTGCCCCTCGGGCCTTCAGGGAGTTCATTCTGAGAAGGAGTCAGACATCCCTCTTAGGGGCCGGCAGAGTGGCTCAAGTGGTAGGAACTTCTGCTTCGTAAGTGTGGGGCCCTGAGTTCAAACCTCAGTGCCACCACTAAATAATAAGTCTATAAAAACAAACAAACAAAAAAAGAAATGACATCCCTCTTAAGTTGCCCAGTTCAGACAGTGATGCTTGTGATCCACAGCTGGCTGTTTGGGCCTGGGTCTTCCGCCACCCTGCACTTACCTCCCCTTTGCCTACTAAGAGGGCTTCTTCCCTTCCCCTTGGTCAGCTCTTGTCTGTCCTTCAGCTCTTGGACTGTCCCCAGCAGTCCTGGCCCCAGGACCATTCTTATAATCCCTGGCAGCCCCTTCCAGGAAAGTCAGTACAGGTTTGGCTGAGCCCTAGTCTCCCTTTGATCTCATAAGTTTTTAGTTTTAGAGTACATCAACATGTCCCCCTTTATTTTATCTTTAATTTTTTTGGCAGTACTGGGTTTTGAATTCAGGGCCTCATGTTTGTTAGTCAGGTGCTCTACTACCTGATGCAGACCCCTAGCCCATTTTTGCTTTAGTTTATTTTTTGGAAAGGGTTTTGACTTTTTGCCTGAGTCCAGCCTCACATTTCAATCCCCCTACTTACTTTTCCTGTCTACCTAGGATTACAGATGTGAAACACCCTGCCTGGCTTTTTGGTTTAAATGGGGATCTCGCTAACTTTTTGCCCAGGCTGGCCTCAAACCATGAACCTCCCTATTTCCGCTTCCTGAATACATCCCACTTTAATTTGCCCTTTGAACCCTCAGCTTGAGGCCTCCCTGGCCTCCATCTCCCTGTCTGTAAAGTGGGAGTGCTAGCACTGTTCTTGCCTTCATAGTCCCCACAGACATTGCTGACTTTCCCCCAAAGGAACCAAGCAGAGCATTGGGCCTCTGAAAGGAGGAGACCAGTGAGCAGGGAGAAAAAGAGGTCACAAGTACCCAGCCTCACCTAGGGGACACTTTGTTGGCACATGGAGGTGGCCTGGAGTGGATGGGAATTGGGATTGTCATCACCATGGGAAGTCTTGGACTTGTGTCTTTCTGCTTGCAGCGTGTGTGCCTGGGAGGGGTGGTTAGTGTGAGATGACTCTGGCATCCTGAGCGTGCCAGTCCAGAGCAGGGAACCAACCCAGGAGGGGAGGAGGAGGGACAGTTGTCCGTAGGTGAAAGCAAATGTTACGCCATGGGAAGGTCAGAGGTAAAGGCTGTGAGAAGCAGTAGGGGGTGGGAGGCTGTGCAGGGGGCACTGCCCTGGGTGGCAGCCTGCTCCTTGTCTGTGTCCTGGCCCTGCAGCTGGGCTGGACCCTGAGGTAGTTGGGACAGAGGAGGATGACAGGGCGGCACATGATGGCCTCTCTCCTCGCTGGCCGCCTTCCTGGTTGGCCCTGCTGTGATTGTTCCAGGATGTGGCTTGAGGTGTTCATTTCCTACCTTCTCCCTACTGAAAACAATGGCTGCTGTTGGTATGCCACATTGGGCCACCACAATGGGCCAGTTTCCCGGGCCCTTCCCTCTATTGCGTCATTTCAACCTCATACCACCTCAGGAAGCTGGACCTGAGCCAGGGCTGTCCTCTCTGTAACCAGGTTGTCAAGGTGGGAGGGGCCCCCAGTGTGGCATGCAGGGGCTGGGACTCTGAGGAGGGGCCTTTTCGGTGGGGTAGAGAACCTTTCCATAAGGCTGCTTGACCCCGCTGGTGAGTCTGCTCCCTAACCCAAGGGGCTCCAGGGCGATCTTGGCACCTTCTCCATCCCCATAGCCTCTCCATGCCTGGCCCGCCCCCTGGGAAGCTCTGTGCCAGGCTGGAGCCCGCGGCCAGGGGCACAGCCTGTACCTCCGCTTTCATTAGAAACTGGTCATTTCACATCCCTTTTGGAAAGTTGGGAAAAACAGAACAGTCGCTCACAAAGCCAGGGACCTTCATCTGCTTTAGAGTTCTGGTATATGTCTTTCATCTTGTGTGTCTTTTTTGTTCCTTCTGTGCATAACATTTACACAGTTAAATTGTTTTAAGAAACTTTCCATGAGCCATGCTTTGAGCTGGGGGTGATCTCACAGAGGTGAAAGACCAGCAGCTGCCCCAAGAAGCTCAAACTTGAGCCAGCCCCTGTAGTACAGTCCTCATTCCTCTACCTGCTAGCTCTTGTGACCTTGAGCAAGTCACTTTACTCTGTTGCTTGGTTTCCTTGTACATGAAATGAGGATGATGAAGGTAACCAGGGAGGGTGGATGTAGTGTCAGAGAGCAGAGAGGTACCCGGTGTGCTTGGTGTGACAATCGTTATGAAGCTTACAGTCCACCAGAGGTCACTTAAAACCCAAAGGGTATAAGAGGAGAGTTTTGGGGTTTTTTGCAGTGTTGCAAACGGAACCCAGCACCTCCTGCATGCTAAGCATGTGCTCTACCACTGAGCCCCACCCCCAGCCTGGGGATGACATTAAGGTGGGATCAGCATAGAACAAGGAGAGAACCGGGTGACTGGGGAACCATGCATGTTAAGGAGGACTCAAGAGCTGAACTTGGATTTGAAGAATGGTCAGGAGCCAAGGAGAGAGGGCTGTGTTCCCACTAGCATATCAAAGCATGGCTTTCTGGAGTGGTACATGGGCAGGGTGGGAAGTAGCTGGGACTACACTATACCCTGCTGTTCCCATTTTATTTCATTTTTGTTTATTTTATTTTTTTGAGACAGAGTCTCAATATGTAGCCCAGGCTGGCCTTGAACTCTGATCCTTCTTCCTCAGCTTCCCTAGTGCTGGGATTACAGACATGTGCCACCACACCCATTTTGAAAAAGGAAAAAAACTGAGGCTCATGGTCTTCTCACATCAAATCTTACTACTAATCATAAGAGAAAGGATGCACCAAAGCTTCAGAATGTTTTCAGAACTCTGTAGTCGTGGTTCTCTGAGCCTCAGTTTCCTTATCAATAAAAGGAAGTAATAAGGATAGCTAAAGCTTATTAAACATTTGCTATCTGTCAGGTGCTATTGCTAGGCCTCCATATTGCAGATGAGAAAACTAAGACACAGAGAGGTCAAGTAACTGCCCAAGGTCACACAGCTGGTAAGTGGTGAACCTGGGATTTGAATTTGATCTGGCTTCAGATCTGCACTTAGCATACCTGCCTCATATGGTTTTGGAGAATTAAATGAGGCAATCACATAAGGTGCTTAGCTCAGGGCTTACTGCAAAGTGGGTGGTCAGGAAACATGTTCTGATGTAATTACAGCAGTCTTCCTATCCCCAGGGGATACTCCCCCCCCACCCTATGGATCCGCAAAGCCAAGGATAGTGCTATACCTTCAGCACTTTAGGGCTTCTCTGGTGTATCCCAGTTGCCAGCATTACTGCTCTTGTGATTTGAGGCCACTAAGTAACTCGAGGGCTTCTTGAACACAAACAAGCACAGCAGTACTGTGACCCGCGAGCTCATCACAGAGACAGCTATTACGTAACTAAACAGGCAGGTAGTGTATACAGAATTGATCCACGGGGAAAAAGGAATGTGCTCAGCCCAGGTGGGTCAGAGTGGGATGGTGCAAGATTTCATGCTACTCAGAAAGCTGTATAATTTATTGCTTATGAAATACTTATTTATGGACTTTTCCAGTAAGGTTTTGAACTATAGTCACTGAAACTGTGGAAAGCAAAACCTTAGATTGGGCGGGGTGCAGGGGGAGCTACTGTTTTATGACTATCCCTTCCTCCCCTCTTTAGCTCTTGTGTTTGTCTGCCTCCATCCCCCAGGTCAAACCTCTTCTCAACACTTGGGCCAGGACAGAAAAGGCCATGGACCAGTGTCCTCTCAGACACCTTGTTCTCCCAGGGCACCCACACTCTCACACTCTGTCCTCATTATCTGACCCATTCTTTCACCAGGTGACATCCTTGCACAGAATCAGACGGTGGCCTCTAGTTTTTGTTGCCAGGATTTAATGGCAGTGCCCTAGAAAGGGGCTGGGGATATAGTTCAGTGGTAGAGCACTTGTCTAGAACATGTGGGGCCCTTGGTTTCATCCCCAGCACCAAAAGACAATCTGATTCCCTTATCTAAACTGTGTTCTGATGTAATTATGGTAGTCCTCAATTTCCAAAGTGGAAACTCTGAGTGTGAATCAGCAACACAAAATCCCCCAAACGTTCAGTGCTACTAAGCCTCTGTGTCCCCGTCATTACCGAGGAGGGCTTCTGCCTGTGGCTTCTTTCTTGGAGCTCTTTGAGGAGCCAATCATAGCAGGAAGTGAAGGAGTGCAACACTCCCCTCTGATAGAGTATGATATGATCTCGTCCCCTTTTGGTGTCTCTCATAGAGGGGCTGACTGCTTGCAGGACTGGAGTGACCTGTGCTATGAGCCCTTTGCCAAAAAATACTATCGATGGTTTGCATAGTGAGAAGCCGTCCACCTGCCCAGGGCCTTACTGCCAGCAGTGTAATTCTGCGCCACTGATGAGGAAACCAAGTCTTGGCTGGGGACACTGGGTCAGGGAGCAGGCAGTAAAAGCCCTGAGCCTGGCCTGAGGGCTCTGGAACTTCTCTTCAGAACATTGAGCCTTGCACTCAGTGCCGTTTCTCTCTCTCCTCCTTTTCAGGTCCCTGCAGGCCCAGAATCGGGACAGCGCTGGTGGGGGCTATCGGGGTGCCTGTGTAGGACACCGCTGCACTGGTGAGGTGGGCATGGGAGACCGCGCCCAGCTGACCAGAGACCCCGTTTTCTTCCAGACTGAGGGGGCAGGCGGTAGGGCCTCCCCACCTGCCCCGGGGAGGATGCAGTTCTTCGGCCGCCTTGTTAATACCCTCAGCAACGTCAGCAATTTGTTCTCCAACCCATTCCGGGTGAAGGAGGTAGCCGTGGTCGACTACACCCTGAGTGAACGTGTTCGGGAGGAAGGGCAGCTGATCCTGTTCCATAACGTCCCCAGTCGCACCTGGGACTGCCTCCTGGTCAACCCCAGGAACTCACAGAGTGGCTTCCGGTGGGTGACAGCTGGGACGTACCTCTCTCCTTTGATTCCTCCCAGCTCTCAGCCTGGAGGTGCTGTGTGGAGGCAGCTTCTTGGGGCTCTGAGGGCTTTGAGAGTGGAGGGAGGAGGTGGGGGAGCAAAGCCTGGGTTGCATCCTTCCTGGAGGCTTGACCCATGCAAATGGAGGGAAGGAGGGAGAATAGGGAGGCCACTGTGCCCAATCCCCATCTGTAGTATCCTGATATGACAGCTGCAACTGACCAAGGCATTTTCCCATTACTATGCAAATGTGCTTTTTCATTTAAAAACTCTTTCTTGATGTCCCTTCCCTCCAGACACAGTGTCCATTCAATATATTCCCGTATTCTCTCTCTTCGAGCTTTCAAAAGATAGTGAAATACACATGGAAAAGTGTATACAGCTCAGTGACTTAACCTGAACTCCTCTGTAATCATGTCAAGAAATAGAACACTGCTCTTCTGTCCCCAAACAAGTAACCGGGAATCTGACTTCCATGTTATAATTGCTTTTGTGTTTGACCTTTTTGCTTAACATCTTGTTGGTGAGATTTATGTGTTTTCATATGTCATTTTCATTGTGGGATTCCATTGTGTAACTACAGTCACATTTCAGTCAAGAATGGGTCACATACTCAGTGTGGGCTGCTGAGATTATATGACCTAGTGACATCCAAGCCATCTTTGTATAAGTGCATTCTATGATGTTTGCATAATAACACATTTCTCAGAATGAGGTCCTGTGGTTAAGCAGCACATGACTGACTATGTATCACGATTTTACTTATTCACTCAACTGTTGATGAAAATTGGGCTATTGCCTGCTAATAGTGGGTGTGCACTTCCCTTAAGCACACACGTGGGAGTGCACTGGTCAGATCCCAGGCCGTGCCAACTCTGGTAGATGATGCCCGTGTGTTTCCTGCCAGCAGTGAGTGGGGTTCCCTGTTACTTCAGATCCTCTAACACTTGGTATTGCCAGTTTGAAAACTGTAGTATTCTTTTGGGTAACAGTAGTACATTACTGCACTTTTCTTTTTGCTTTTACCTGATTACAAATGAAGTGGAGCCCCTTTTGATATGATTAACCATTTTCATACCCTCTTTGGTAGTGTACCTGCTCAGGTCTCCCAACTGTTTAAAAACAAAGTTGTTTATCTTTTTCTCCCAGAGTTTTAGGAGGATTTTTTTTTTGATGGATGTGTATTTCAAATACACACTTTTGTTGGTTATGTGTACTTAAACCTCACACCCAGCGCTCACTTATCTATTCCCTTCTTGGGATCTATTGATGAACCAGCATTCTTAGTTTTTCTGAAGTCAGGCTGTATTTTCTTGTCCCCCCCCCTTTTTTTTTTTTTTTCCTGGTACTGGGGTTTGAACTCAGTGCCTTCACCTTGAGCCACTCCACCAGCCCTTTTTTTGGGAAGTTTTTTTTTTTTTTTTTTTTTTGAGATAGGGTCTCACGAGCTATTTGCCTGGGCTGGCTTGGAACCACAGTCCTCCGATCTCTGCTTCCTGAGTAGCTAGGACTACAGGTGTGAGTCACCTGTACCTGCTTGGTTCAGTATCTTAAGTGCAGAATGGCAGGTCCAAGGTGAGTGGCATGTTACAGATCAAGAAGCTTTTGAGTGATTTAAAGGACTGGTACTTATTGCTTTCTGTTTCTTAGTCAGTTTTGCTAGGAGACTGCCAATTTCTAACACCTTTCAAAGAACCAACTTTTGGCTTTTTAAAATTTATATAATGTACTTCCTTTTACGACTACTCTTGTGAAGAGTGTGTTGTCCTTTTCTTTCCCAATTACCAAAGAGACTTTCTTCTCTTTTGGTTGTACTGGGGTTTGTCGGTGTTGATGTGCAGAGGCTCTGCCACTTGGGTATTCCTTGTACTTTATTTGGAATATTTAGTCTACTTAATGTAATCCTGATATTTTGGGGTTTAAACATACCATCTTACTACTTGCTTTTTTAAAATTCCTCTTATTTTTCCCTTTACTTTCTCCTTTCTTTGTGTTTCATTTTAGTTAGTTTTATTGAGATGCAACTTGCAAAAAATAAAACTGACCAATTTAATCATACAACATGTGGTTGTATGAGTCTGGCTTTTGCAGTTAGAATACTGCGTTTGCAATCAATTTGTGATTTTCTTTCTTTCTTTTTTTGGTGGTACTGGGGTTTGAACTAGGCTTCCTGCTTGACAGGTAGGTGCTCTACCACTTGAGCCATGCCTCCAGCCCTGCAATGGTTTCCGTGTGATTCCATTTCCCCTCTTTATTATTACCTTAGAAATTATATACTCTGTTATTCTGTTGTTATCTCTCTCATGCTCCTTTTTTTTTGCAGTAAAGAGTCTGAACTCAGGGCCTACACTTTGAGCCACTCCACCAGCCCTTTTTATGAAGGGTCTTTTTTTCGAGCTAGGGTCTACCTGGGTTGGCTTCAGACCACAATCCTCCTGATCTCTGCCTCTTTCCTGAGTAGCTAGGATTATAGGTGTGAGCCGCCAGCACCTGTCTTCTGTTATTTCTTAATGGTAACAGCTGAGAGACAGTTCTACATAGTCTCTCACATTCCTTTGAGTGCCTCTTGCTAGCAGAGACTCTGACTCTAAGCTGTCTTGTCTTTTTGGTTTTTTGAGACAGAGTCTCACTATGTAGCCTGGGCTGGCCTCCTGCCTTAGCTGCCCAAGTGCTAGAATTAGACATGTGCCACCACACCTGACTCCAGGCTGTCTTTCATAGTTACGTGTATTGCAAATAGCCTTGAAAGATAGTTATAGGAACTCTGTCTTCTAGAGTAGAGGATAGGTTTGCTAGCTTATCCATTAAAAAAGGGACTTCATCTGCAGCAAAGCATAGACAGGTCTGCTTTATTATAAAAGACTCCAGGGTTTCCTTCTTGTAATGCAACTTAAGCAAGTGTCACCTGCCCTCTTCATGTCTCCCTGTGGGCCCAGTACTTTGGCTGTTGTTGTGAATAATAAACTGCCCTTTATCTTTGGCCCAGGAGGCTTGTGTCTTCTACCAACATCCATGAACCTCTAGCATGTCAGTTTGCAAGTAGAGCAACATCTGAAACCTCCCGCTTCCTAGGCAGGTGCTCTACCACCGGAGCCACTCCTCCAGCCCAAATCCTACGTTTCTTTTAAATCCAGTGAGACATTGTGCCAGTAATACTTACGTAGATTCACCCCAAAATTTACCATGTCATGGTACTTGACTCTTTGGGGCCTCTTTGACCACATCTGGATCATGTTCCTCTACTAGAAGAAAATCTTTGTATTTCCTTTTACATAGGTCTGCTAATGACAAAGTCTGTGGGACTGACATAACTATAGCTTGGCCCTGTCTCAAACCCCTTGCCTCCCAAAGTCTGTGGAGTTTTTGTTTGACTAGTGACACATTTTAATTTCTCCTTTGTTCTTTTTTTCAGTGCTGGGTGTTGAACCCAGAGCATCACACATGCTAGGTGAATGCTCTACCACTGAGCCACATTCTCAGTCCCTCAACTTCATTTTTTTTTAATTAAAAAAAGTTTGGTGGTATTAGGGTTTGAACACAGGGCTTTGCACTTGCAAGGCAGACGCTCTATGACTTGAGCCTCACCTCCAGCTCTCAACTTCATTCTTTAGGGTTTTTATTTGTTTTTTGTTTTGCTGAGGACAGGATTCTCTTTGACATTTCTTTCTTTTAGCTCTTTGGGGTTGTCATTGCATGACCTCTGGCTTCCTTTGTGAGAAGCCAGCTGTCATTCTAGTGGTTGGCTTTTTTAAAAGAATTTTTTTTCCTCTGCTATTTTCATTACTTTCTCCTTTCTTTCAGCACATTAATTGATTACTGCTGAGTTACAGTATGCTAAACAATGTCTCTTTACCAGCTGTTGCTATGTAACAAACTACCCCAAATCTTGATGGCTTAAAACAGTAATGATTTAATCAGACTGAACATCTACAATTTGAGCAGAGCTAAGTGGGAAGGGCTCGCTTCTACCCTACATTCCGTGAGCTGGAGTGGCTTGACTGCAGGATCTGCTGCCTGGTGCTGGCTGTTGGCCAGGAGTTCATACAGGGCTAAAGGCTCAGGACTGAGTCCTCTCCACACGTTGCTTCAGCAACGTGCCGTGATGGCTGGGTCCCAACAGGAGAGAAGTAGAAGCTTCCAGTCTTTTAAGGGCTGGAAACTGGGGCTATATCACTTTTGCCATATTGTATCAACGAAGCAGTTATAAGCCAAATTAAAAGGCAAAGAAATCCAGATTCCCAATGCTTAGTGAGAGGAGTGTCAGTGAGTTTGGGGATCATGTTTTAAGCCCTGTACAAGGTGCTAAGTGTAGATTTTCCTTTTTGGAGAGGGAGAGCTCATGGTATATAATAAGTCAATAGAATAACTTTTTTAAAAATAAATTTTGGACAGTTTGTAGATACTAATTCTTCCCAAAAGGCTTCCATCTAATTGCTTTCCTCTTGGGCCTTCAGTTACACGTATGTTAGTCTTCTCATCCTGTATTTATGTCTCTCGTCCACCTTCCTGTTTCCCACCCTTTTCTCTCTCCATGCCTTGTTCTGTTTACTCTTTGCTCATGCTTCTCCCTGTCACTGGTTTTCACACTGTCTAGTCTGCTATCATACCTAGCTATTGAGTTCTTCTTAGGCTGGCCTTGAACTCAGGATCCTCCTGCCTCTGCCTCCCAGGTGCTGGAATGACAGGCATGCCCCACTAACTCATTCTTTTTTTTTTTTTTTAAATTTAAAGTTCTTTGCTAAAGTTCTAAATTTCTGATTTTATCTTCTTGAATGTTAATCACAGTTACTTTAAAGCATATGTCAGATAACTTCAGTATTTGCAGGCATCTGCTTCTAGATCTGTTTTGGTTGGATATGGTTTTGGCTGGCTTTCTTTCATGTCCTATCTCCACCTCTCTCATGGGTTTTGATTATGTGGTGGACATTATATTTGTAAATATGCTTTTAAAATAATTTGAAGCTTGTTTGATGTTCCGTTGTTCAGGGCACATTTATGTTCACTTCTCCCAGGTCCTTGGGAACACTCAGGATAAGCCCCATCTAGTTTCTGGAACTGAGGTTCTGTGGGGACAAGCTGCATTCCCTGTGAGGGCCTGGCCAGGTATGGCTCAGCCTTCTTCCTAGGCTGTGGACCATCGGAATCCCAAGCCAAAGAGATGCTCAGTGGGTCTCTCCCCTTAGCAGACCCCTGACCTCCTACCCAGCATCCTGAGCTCCATGAGGTGCTGTTTATCCCTCCGTTCACTCCCTGCCCCCAGTGGCAGCCCTAAGCAGTGCAGGATCACCGCTGTCTTACTAGGTGTGCAGTGCCTTTGAGCAGATGCTTTTTTCTTTTGCTCAGCATTTCAGCTTGTTTCCAGTAGGCATTTGTCACATTACCTAGTCTGCCATGGATGGAAGTGGAAGTCCTCAGAGACATCATTCTGGATCATTCCCCTCAGCACTCAAATGCTTAAAACCTCACTTTCCCCAGGAGCCACACATCCTGTGTTTGCAGAGTGCCTCAGAAATAATCTGACTCGCTGTGTCCGATTCCTCTCATTCCATGCTTTTTTTGGCAGTACTGGGATTTGAACCCAGTGCTTTATGCTTGCTGGGCAGGTACTGTACCACTTGAGCCATATCTCCAAGCCCCTTTTTCTCTGTTTTTTGTTTGTTTGTTTGTTTGTTGAGCTAGGGTCTCATTTTTTGCCTCAGCCAGCCTGGACTGAGATCTTCCTATTTTTGGTTCCCCCCATAGCTGGGATGACAGGTGCACATCACCACACCAAGCTTTTTTCTGTTGAGATAGAGCCTCATGAACTTTTTGGCCCAGGCTGGCCTGGGACTGTGATCCTCACTATTTCAGCCTCCAAAGTAGGTAGGATTATAGGCATGAGCCATTGATGCCAGGCTTAGTTTTGGTTTTTTGAGACAAGGTCTAACTATGTAGTCCAGGCTGGCCTGGAACTCATGATCCTCCTGCCTCAACCTCCCACATGCTAAGCTTATAGGTGTGTGCTACCCTGCCAAGCCCATGGTTTCTTAAGGCCACTCCAGCCAAGTTTTGGTTCCCATAATTCTACTGAAAGCACACTTAGGAAGGCCCCTCCTGTGCTAAGTTCAGTGGCTGACTTTCCATCATCTTTGTATCTGACACATTAGCAATATTTGATGGCGGGGAGTTGGCTTCCCTGTGTCCTCCTCTCCGTCTCTGTGGTGGTGGTGTAGTTTCTGTAGCACGTATTACCTGATAGTCTATTCTGTGTACTTCTTTATTTCTTACTTATTTTGTTGATTCCCCCCTCCATACAACAGGGGCCCTGGGAGGCTGCTCAGTTTAGAACAGTGGCAGGTGCAGCTCACACGCTCCCAAGGCGTTTGGGGGCAGTCACACTCTCTGGCACTGCCTCCGCTAGACCTTACTTGGCTGCTGGGCTCGTACAGGTGTGAGAGAAACCTTCTGGTGTATGGAGAGCCTGGCAGAACCTTAAGCAACCACGCTGACATGTATTCGTTATGCATTTGTACTGCCGCATTGCTTTCTCAAGTGTCCTCACAGCGTCTCAGAGAGGGAGTTTTCCCAAAGTCGCATGGTAACTTAATAGCAGAACTTGGACTCAAACTCAGCTCCTGAAAAATGAGCAAATTTCTTTTCTGATCATAAAAAGTAATATATGCTCATTATAGAAAATTTAGAAAGCACAGAAATGAATAGGAACATTTAAATTATTTATCCTACCACATTTGACACATTTTTTTAAACAAGTTTTTTTTTTTCTATGCAATACTGGAGTTTGAATTCAGAGCAGGCGCTCTACCACTTGAGCTGCATTCCCAGCCCATGTCACTACACCCACCTTTTTCAAAGAGATGGGGTCTCACTAACTTTCCCTGGGCCTCCCCAGTAGCTGGAATTATAGGCTCAGGTTTTTTTGTTTTTTACAAATTGAGATTACATTGTATCATATATTATTAGTATCCTGCTTTTTTACTTAACTACAAAATAATCATTCCCCCACTCTTTTACTCTCATTTTAATAGCTGCATAGTATTCATCTCATAGATGGATATACCATAATTTATACATTATTCTTTGCTGCACATTTAAGCATCACTTTTTAAATTCTGACCATGCCAGTGTTCTCAGATGTGACAATCAAATTAGAATAATGATAATGATAGGGCTTTGGTTATGTAAAATATATAAGTGGCACATGATGGAGAGAGAGAGGAGAAGGAGGAAAGGGAGGGTGGGGAAGAAGGGAGGTAAAGGAAGGAAGGAGGAAGGAAGGGAAGGGGAAAAGGAAAACTTCAAACACAAAGAAGCAGGCAGTGGCCTGTTTGGGGGACCTAGGGCTTCTGGCTCAGCTAGGCTCCACCCTACTTAACTTGATGTCTTCCTCCATCCTGGCTACAGACTCTTCCAGCTGGAGTCAGAGGCTGATGCCTTGGTGAACTTCCAACAGTATTCCTCCCAGCTGCCACCCTTCTACGAGAGCTCCACCCAGATCCTACACGTGGAAGTCCTGCAGCACCTGACCGACCTTATCCGCAACCACCCCAGCTGGTCAGCTGCTCACCTGGCGGTGGAGCTGGGCATCCGGGAGTGCTTCCATCATAGCCGCATCATCAGGTGGGCAGGCCAGGGCCATCTGGAGCACATGTGCTATGTGTGTTGGGGATAGGAATGTTCTTTCAGTCTTCCCCTGGGCAAGAGCATGAGAAGGTTCACTAGAGTCAGAAGGACAAGTGTAACATTTCTGAGCATTTACCAGGTGCCTAGCCCATGAGCTGTTTCACCCTCACCATGATATTGAATCCTTCCCACCCCCATGAAGTATCATCACTCCAGAGAGGCTGTGGGGCCTGTGCAAGGCTGGAGAAGGTTGAAGAGGGGCTTCTATCCCAATGTCTCATTCCAAGCTCTGGTGCTCTGGAATCTGCAATACCTTCTTTTGTATGTCCTTCACTGTATCAGTGATGCCCCTGGAGAGGACACTGTGCCTACCCTTGCCTAGGATGCCAGCTGGCCATCATGCCCAGAGGTGGTCATGCTTCCTGTGGTTCTCCATCTTAGCTTGGTTCCATGTCTCATCCCATAGTGCAAAACCTCACTGCACAGCACAATTTGCAGGCGGGATCCTGGATGCCCTGGTGTCTCAGCTCACAGCAGTTCTCTCCCTTCTTAGGGCAGGAATGGTAGGGGCTCTAGAGAGCAGTATTGGAGCCCAGGGAGGCTGAGTGCATTTCCCCAGATCAGTGAGATTTGTCTGTTCTACAACCCTTTTCTGTGTCACCCCCACACACACACCCATTGCTCACCCCGTGCTGGTGTGGCCTTGGGGCTCATGTTTGGTACAGGTGTGCAAAATGAACTTCAACTCTATACAAATTACATCAAAGAAGAATAAGTGTGACTCAGCCTGTGTTGGAACCACCAGCTTGAGTGTGACATGAGGGCTCTAGAGCACAGCCACACCAGGAAGCCAAAGCCCCCATCCCTGCTTCTGCACTGGGTTTTCTTATGCCCCCTCGTCCCCTGCCTGATCGCCTCCTTGCCCTACTGCAGCTGTGCCAACAGCACGGAGAATGAGGAGGGCTGCACCCCCCTGCACCTGGCCTGCCGCAAGGGGGATAGGGAGATCCTGGTGGAACTGGTGCAGTACTGCCATGCCCAGATGGATGTCACTGACAACAAGGGAGAGACGGCCTTCCATTATGCCGTGCAGGGGGACAATTCCCAAGTGCTGCAGGTGAGCAGGGTGAGGGTGGGGACTGATATGAGCATACTTTGTGCTGACACTCTCTTTGGGCTCCTGTGTTCATGGGTCACTCCTGGGCCTTTCATTGTCCTCCCCCTCCATTTTTGTTGTAGTACTGGGTTTTGAACTTAGTGCCTTGAGCTTGCCAGCTCTTTACCACTTGAGCCATGCCCCAGCTCTCATTGTCCCCCCACTGGCCCTGAGGCCTGAGCTCCTTGTGGAGGGTGCATACCCCTCCCACCTTCCTCTTCTGATATTATCTAGAGACATATTGTTCTCTTTGCTCTAAGCCCCAGAGGTCCTTCAACCCAGCAAACTAATCTCACAGCCCAGCACCAACCAATCAGCTTAGTTCAGGTTTTCCTGAGCACCCACCAGGAGCTGACCCTGGGCTTCAGGTCAGCCCCTGCCTGGGGTGCTCCTGGTGCAGTGGGACTTGAACCCAACTGATGAGTACTCAAACCAACCCATCTCACTCCTATAGGCATTGGTGCCAGAGGTGCTTCTGTTAATTTTTGATTTCTAGGGAAGAAATCATTTTTTAAAATTATGGACAAGTGGATGATGAGTGGTATTATTAAAAAAAAACTATTTTATGTATAGGATGAGAGGAAAAGGCAGAAAATCGGGTTGTTTTATTGCATGGAACAAGCAGATCTTTCTAAGGTTATATATTCTCTGCCTGGGCATCAGGATTCTAGAAAATATGGATCCATATCTTGTGCTTAGGACTCCTAGGGAAGGGTATTCTCCACCCTCCCACACAGCCCTGGGAACACCCAGCACAGCCCCGCAGGCACTGCCTCCAGGTGTATACTCTTTGGTCAGTAGTCACGCATGCTGCAGCTATCCTTTATCAGCTCTGGTTTGTGCCTGTTACTGTACTGAGTGTGGCATGTGCTCTAGCTAATTCTCCTGAAAAACAACCACAAAATGAATATCCTCCTGGGCTGTGGGCTCTGTCCTTTTCTTCTCGTGAAAGAAACTGAGGCTGAGCAGAGGCAAGACTGTGCCCACCGAGGGCCATAAAGTCGGTTGAGGGGCAGGCTGGCCCTGGCTTCCAGCCCTAGTGCTGGCCCCTCATGCTCCCACTGTGTTCTAAGCCCACCTGCAGGCCCAGCAGGGCTACCTTGAGGTGACCCTGATGTCACATGGGTACTCCATGGTTATGATTAATCTCAGAGAGATAGCATTCATCCTGTAGTGACAAAATAAAACCTCCCTGCCTGCTCTCTTCTTAACACTAGTACAGGTGGCCCTCCATATTTGTGGGTTCTGCATCCCCAGATTCAGTTGAGGATTGAAAATAGCAAAAAAAAAAAGAAGAAGAAGAAAAGAAAAAAACCATACCTGGGATGAATCTGTAATCCCAGCACTTGGAAGGCTGATGCAGGAGGATGGAGAGTTAGAGACCAGCTACGTAGTGTGACCCTGTCTCAAATAATTTAAAAATCACCTCTGTCCTGAACATGTACAGATGTACAGACCCTTTTTTTTGGGAGGGTGGGACTGGTATTTGACTCAGGGCTTTGTGCTTGCAAAGCAGGTGCTCTACCACTTGAGGGACACCTCCTGTCCATTTTGCTCAGGTTATTTTGAAGATGGAGTCTCGTGAACTATTTGCCTGGACTGACCTCAAACAGTGATCCTCCTGAACTCAGCCTCCCAAGTAGCTAGGAGGCGTGAGCTACTGACACCCAGCTTACAGACATTTCTTTTCCTGCCATTAGTCTCTAGACACCACAGTGTAACAACTATTTATATAGCACTTACATTGTCCTAGGTGAATCTAGAGATGATTTAAAGAATTCAGGAGCCAGACAGAATGGTGTTCACCTGTAGTCCCAGCTACCTAGGTAGAAGTAAGTTCAAGGCTATAGAGCTATAGAGGGAGACCCTCCCTCCATCCCACCCCCATCTCAAAAGCAAGTAAAAGTACACAGGAGACTGTGTATAGGTTTTATTTAAATACTATAGCATTTTGTGTAAGGCACTTGAGTATCTGAGACTTTGGGTGTGTGGTTGGGGATGGGGGGTGTCTTGGAACCAGTCTGTGTGGTATCTGTGTTCTGGAACCAGTGGGCAGCAACGCTTTTTTTTTTTTTCAGTACTGAGGGCTGACCCCAGGGCCTTGTGAATACTAGGCAAGTGCTCTATCACTGAGCTACATCCCTAGCCTTTTGTTTAAAACCTAATACCTGTACTGGAGACATGGCTCAAGTGGTAGAGTGCCTGCCTGTCAAGCATAAAGCCTGAGTCCAAACCCTAGTATTGCCAAAAAATAAAATAAAACCTAGTACCTGCATGTAGAAAAAAAATTCAAGTCGGACAGAAGAGTAACAATGGAGAGGAAGAATTGTTCCCAGCTAGACTCCCATCCCCATCCCCAGATACCAGCACCGTTCAAGGTTCTTTTTGTTTGTTTTGTGAGGGAGGGACTTGAGGCAGGGTCTCATTGTGTAGGCAGGCTGGCCTCAAACTCTTGATCCTCCTGCCTCAACCTCTCAAGTGCTGGGATTACAGGTATGCACCACCACACCAGGCTTAAGGTTCTGATTCAGAAATTTTCACATGAGCTACATCAGGTCAGATGGGCAACTCCTGGCCCTGTCCACACTGGTGCAGTCAGCTTCTTGATTTTTACTGAGCTACTTTTCCTGTTACTCCTCTTTATGTTCTTCTCAGCATCCTTATGGAGTTCAACTTCCCTCCCACTGTGGTCCCCAAAGAGAGGTGGCTCCTGTGGTGCCAGAGAGGGGACTTTCCTGTGTTGAGCTCCATCCCCCTGGTGTTGTGTTGTCAGCTCCTAGGAAAGAACGCCTCGGCCGGCCTGAACCAGGTGAATCACCAAGGGCTGACCCCTCTGCACCTGGCCTGCCAGATGGGGAAGCAGGAGATGGTGCGTGTGCTGCTGCTGTGCAACGCTCGGTGCAACATCATGGGGCCCAGTGGCTACCCCATCCACACAGCCATGAAGTACTCCCAGAAGGGGTAAGACCTCGCCCTGCCTGTACCACCTCCAACATACACACACCTGGCCTCAGCCCCAGGGAGCAGAGACACTGCCTTCCCAAGCTGGATCAATACGTATTGGACAGTGTTCCAAGGGTAGGCCTGGCACCAGGGAAGTGCTTAGTAATAATCGCATGGTGGGTGTAACTCTCAGTCCACAGACTCAGCTGTGTAAGAAATAGAGCTTTTAGAAGTTTTCTATAATGCACCCTAGTTTCTGTCTGTGACCTCTGCCAGAGGAGAAAGCCTTTCAGTCTTAATCTCCCTGAGGTTTCCTTTTCAGAGTCCTCACAGAGCTCCAGTTTTGAAGTCTGATGCAAACCCAAGGCTTGAGGTGTCTGAGTGCTTAGTGGCTTCTGCTCCTGGCTCAAAACCCTAGGACGCTTGCCCAGGAGCACAGGGCCCTGTCTGCCCAGGCTCATCATTTCTTCCTGGCTGGTGGCACTGCTGGGAGGCAGGTGACAGGACCACGTTTTGGGTAGCTCTAGATCATTCTGTCATCTCTCCCTTCCTCCCCAGACTTGAAAACCCTGGTCTCAGCAGCTTCATTTCCATATGGCGTGTATACATATGTGGGGAGGGGACGGGATCAGAGATAAAATATCACGACAACTGGATTGAATGAGTGAGTGAGTGGATGGAGTCATTTATCCTTTGACCCTGACCCTTGTGCTAAGTTCTGGTCCACACAGCTCTGGGGCAGGAGACCCCAAGTCGCCCTGTACCTCACAGCACGGGGTGCTGGAAAGCAGTGGTGCACTTCAGTGGGAGACCACATTCTCATCTTCTCTGTGGACTTGCCTTTTTCTGAGGTCTGCACCTACCTCCATGGCCAGCATAAGACACTGCTGTTCCCTCTAAGGTCTGGTCCCAAGATGGACAAACCTTCCTTTCCTTGATCCTGCCTAGTACACCCAATGAACTAGACTTTTCAGGAAGACTTGACCAAATAGTTACAGGTGGCTTAGATACAGGTTGTGACCTGAATGGACACAAGTGATGGGTGAAGATCATCTGTACTCAGAAGACTGGCACACATACTGGACTCCAACTGCCCAAGCTTCCCTGGTCATTGTCCTGTGTGCTCCCTGTACAATGCCCTCTGCCACCTTCCCTCTCTGCTCCCTTGGGCTGTCCTCTGTGGGTGTGGCATGGGAGCATCGGTGGCTCTGCACAGATGACAAAGGGAGCATCTGGGCCGCAGCAGTGTGGCGGGTCTCCTTGTGGTAGCCAGTGGAGTCCTAACAATCACCTGTTTTCAGTGCTCTCAGTGTTGCTGGACAGCTCCATCCCAGCCCAGGCTACCAGCTCCTCTGTTGAGTCTTTTAACTCAGCCGACCTTGACCTTGACCAGAGCTGGGTTTGTGCCTGCACTCAGACTATAGAGCCCCTAGCTGAAAGGGAGGTAAAGAGATGATTCAGACCTTGAGATGGGTCAAGTAGAAGACACTGAGAGCTCGGAGGGGGTGCTTGGGTGGCTGGGCCAGGGAGGCTTTGAGGAAGCAGAGCCTGAGCCCAGGGTAAGAAGCCAGCTAGAGCTAGCTACAAACTTGACTTTCTCTCCCCTGAGGACCCAGAGAGGAGATAGTACTCAATTCAGCCTCCTAGTAGTGGGCTTCTGGCCTTGGGGTAACGGTCGTGGGTAAGAATGGTACAATGTGCCTGGAGCCAGTGGCTCATGCCTGTAATCCTAGCTACTCAGGAGGCAGAGATCAGGAGGATCACGGTTCCAAGCCAGCCTGGACAAGTAGTTTGCAAGACACTATCTTGGCCTCAAGGTGTAAACCCTGAGTTCAAATCCCAGTACCAAAAAAAAAGAATGGTAGAATGCAGACTGGGTGTGGTGGCACATGCTTGTAAATCCTATCTACTCTGGAAGCCAGCTCGGGCAAAAAGTTCACCAGATCCCATCTCAATCAATAAAAGCTGGGTGTGGTGATGGCACATGCCTGTTGTCTCGGCTACTCTGGAGGTGTACATAGCAGGGGGTTTTTATGCAGGGCTGCTTAAGCATAAACTTGACTGAAACAAAAGGGGCTGGGTGCATGGCTCCAGTGGTAGAATGCCTGCCTAGCAAGAAGGGAGCCTTGAATTCAAACTCTAGTACCACAAAAAAAAAAAAAAAAAATGAATGCTGATGCTGCTTCTGCTGGGCTCAGCAGTATTTTTGTGAGTTGTTTTGCAACAACCTAAAAGAGCAGATGTGTTTTATCCCTGTCTTAAAAGTGAGGAAACCAAGGCTTAAGAGAGTTTAAGTGGCTTGCCCAGGGTCAGGCAGTCAGTGCTGGAGCTGGAGTTCAACCTGAGCAGCTGGCCCTAGTGACTGCACTCTAGTTACAAAAAGACAAAACAGTTTATTAGGTATAATTCATGCTATATAATTCACCTGTTTAAAATATACAGTGTCTTGGGGTTATATAAATTTTTTAATTTGTGGTAAAATAAACATAATATAAAATTTACCATTTTAACTTTTTTCTTTTTTTGGTGGGTCTGAGGTTTGAACTCAGGGCTTTATGCTTCCAAAGCAAGTGCTCCACCACTTGAGCCACACTTCCAGCATATTTTTCTCTTTTGTGGTACTGAGATTTGAACTCAGGTCTCACGCTTGCAAGGCAGGCACTCTACCACTTGAGCCACTCCCCCAGTTCCCAACCTATTTTTCTTTGCTTATTTTATTCTCTGTGACAATCAGAACTTTCCAATCCCATCCCCTAGCCTCCAGCCCCTGGGAACCCCTGTCTACTTTCTGTTTCCAAGGACTTGCCTATTCTAGGCACCTCATATGAGGGAATCATCCAGTGTTTGTCCTTTTGGGTCTGGCCTATTTTGTGTGGTAGTAACCCATTCTGCACATATTCAGAATTTTGTTTACCCATCCACTCATTGGTAGATGCTTGGGTTGCTTCCACCTTTTGACTGTTGTGAATAGTGTTGCCATGAACATGGGTCTACAAATACCTGCTGGATTCCCTGCCTTCAGTCTTCTGCGCATGTACCCAGGAGCCAAAGGCATTTGCACCCCCACCACTCTTCTAAACTGCTCCTTACAGAATGCACTGCAGCACACTAAACACCAACAGTGCAGGGTGGCAGGAGGTGGAAGGTGGCTGGTGTGCCATTCATAAAAATTCAGCTCTGAAATGCCTTGTCTCCTCCACCTGCAGTCCCCAGCTGCCCATTAGGACTTTTAATGACAGGCTTGGCTTCCAGAGGTCACCAGTAAGAAAGCTGGAGCTTGACTTTAAGCTGTCTGATCCAAAGGCATCACTAGGAAGAGTGAGCTTTGCCAGTTACAGTCACTAGGAGAACTTTCTGGAGGAGGGGGTTAGCTGTGCCTGGAGGAGCTCAGCACACCCCTCACATACCGTGCTGTGCATGCTGGTTGGGTTTTTGTTGTTGCTTTTCCAATAAATTTTATCCCTAGGAATGTAGCTCAGTGGTCGAGCATTTGCTTAACAAGTCTAGGCCCTGGATTCAGTCTCCAGCACCTCAAAAATAGTAAGTCACTGTGTAATTTAAATAGACCATGATGTTAAAATGGTCTTCATATATATATATATATATATATATTTTTTTATATATACATATATATAGTTTATTATAAATGGTTACTATACTATAGCGAAAGAAATTAGCATATCCATTATCTCATGCAGTTACTTCCCCCTCCCCCAGTGGCAAGAGCAGCTCTAATCCCCTCATTGCATTTCAGGGAAAATCCTGAATGCTATACACTGTTACTAACTGTAGTCTTCACGTGGCACATTCATCCTATGTACTTGCTACTTTGTATCTTTGCCCACCCCCAATCCTGCCCTGGCAACATTGTTTTATTCTGTATCTCTGTTTATTTGACCTTTGTGTTTTTATTGTTTATTTTACCTATAAATGAGATCTTACAATATTTTTCTTCCATGCCTGGCTTACTCCACTTTAGCATACCATCCTCCAAGTCATTTATCACATGTGGCAAGTGGCAGTTGCCTTTTAAAAGGCTGGATGGCATTCTACTGTGCTCCACAGTTTTTTTACCCATCCGGCTGTGATGACACCCAGGGGTTCTGTCTCTCTGCTACCGTGCAAGGGGTGCAGTGAACATGGGGTGCAGACACCTTTTTCCCAGGTGACGATTTCACTCCAGTGGGGTGCACCTGAGGAGGGACTGCTGGCTCACGTGCGAGCTCTAATTTTGATTTCTCTAGGATCCTCCACACTATTTTCTGTGGTGGCTGCACCAGTCCTCATTCCTACCAGTGGGGCACAAGGCTTCTTCCTCTCCACACCGTTTTTTTTTTTTTTTTCAGTTATAGGAATTTGAACTTAGGACCTTGCAAGCCCTCTACCACATGAGTCATGCCCACTCTTTTTTTCTTTTTATGTGGTGCTGGGGATTGAAGCCAGGGCCTCATGCATGCTAGGCAAGAGCTTTGCCACTGAGTGACACCCAGCCCTAGCTCTTGTCCTTTTAAGAACAGCTCTGAGGTGGCTTCTCATAGTGGCTTCCATCTGCATTCCCCTGATGAGAGTCAGGCCAAGCACCTTGTCATGCACGTATGGCCATTTGTATGTCATCGCTTGTATGTCATCGATGAAGAAATGTTTGTTTATGTCCTTTGTCCATTTTTTTCTGCTGTTGAGTTGTATGAGTTCTTTGTAAATTTTATTAACCTTTAACCCCTTATCTGATATATAGGTTCGTGGTGGGAAGGGGAGTTGTTATTATTGTTGTTCTTTTCTTTTTGTTTTTGAGACAAGAGGCTCACTACGTAGCTAGCCCAGGCTGACCTAGAACTTGCGATCCTCCTGTCTCAGCTTCCCAAGTGCTGGGATTACTGGCATGGGCCACCATGCCCAGCCTCAGTTTATAAATTTTGTCCCCAGTATATAGGTTGCCTTTTCCTTTTAATTGTTTCCTTTGCTGTACAGCAGCTTTTTAGTTTAATATATTTCATTTATTTATTTTTACCTCTGTATCCTTAGCTTGTGGTGTAAAATACAAGAAATGATTGCTAAGGCCAGCCAGTTGGTTTTGTCACAACTTCGTTTGCAGGTGAAATTTGCTGATCCAGAGGTGACAGCCCAAGTCCTCTGGCGTAGGCCAACCTCATCCTCTCCTCCCTGCCCACGGCTGCTCTCTTCCCAGGTGTGCTGAGATGATCATCAGCATGGACAGCAACCAGATCCACAGCAAAGACCCTCGCTACGGAGCCAGCCCACTGCACTGGGCCAAGAGTGCCGAGGTAGGCAGAGTCTGCCATGAGCTGGAGCCACGGGAACGAGCATCCTGACATGACTCTAATGGGGCACAATGGGGCATGTGGGCACAGGTGTTGTAGTGGGCAGTGGGCAAATGAGCCCAAGGCAAAGAGTTGAGGTCCTGATGGCTCTGCTGCTCACTGGGGGTGCTATTGTCCCCTTTGTGCATGGTTTCTTCACCCATGAATTGGGGGTCCTATTGCCATTGTTGGAGGTGTGAAACCAGAAGGTAGTACATGAGTCATAAAGTGTCTTACAGACAGAGGGTGGGGCGATGCCCTGCAGAGAGCCTTGCTGGCACATCCCCCTGGGAGGATAGGACCCACTGGTCTCTTGTCACCAGGAAATTCAGCAGTGTACTGAGTGTCCCCCAAGATCCTGTCTTGCTCTTATGTGGGATGAGTCAGGAGGTAGAAGGTGGCCAACCTCTGTAGGGCACATCTGTATGCCAGGCCCTTTTGTGTTTGTTTTCTTAGGTATTGTCACCACCCTTTGGGAGGTGACACTTGTATTTCTTTCACAGAGAAGACTGAGGTGTGAGGTAGCAGTGACCCATCCAAGCTCAGAGGAGGTAGCTGGGCTTTGGGCTGAGTTGTGTCCTCCCCACAGTCCAATGGTACCAGCGTTGCTAGGGAGCAGGGATGTGGGTGCCAGGCGTGCTACCTGGTCAGGACCCCAGCGAGGACCACAGGGAGTGGTGTGCTTCCAGGGCAAGGCTGGAGGAGCGTTACAGAGAGGATTGGGGCCCTGTTAGCTCCAGGGAAGGACCAGAAGCCTTTAGAATCAATTTTCAGCTTTTTGTCTCCTAGTTCCTGGGGTGCTGATGGTGTGGGAGCAAGGGTCTAGGGTCACTCCCAGAACTGGGCCCTGTCCCTGGACTCCTCCTCCATGGGTAAGAGTTCCAGAGGTCTCACACCTGAAGGCTACTTAGGGAGGAAGTGACAGTGCCCAAGTGCCATGGCCACGCTGCTCTGGGTGCCCGAGCTGACTCCATGGGATCTGTCCCCTCAGATGGCTCGCCTGCTGCTGAAGCGGGGCTGCGACGTGGACAGCACCAGCATGTCGGGGAACACTGCCCTGCACGTGGCTGTGATGCGTAACCGCTTTGACTGCGTCATGGTGCTGCTGACCTACGGGGCCAATGCTGGTGCCCGAGGCGAGCACGGGAACACTCCACTGCACCTGGCCATGTCGGTGAGCCCTTGCCACGCATCCCCACGCTGCACTAGCCCAGCTCTCATGGAGGGGGAGCAGAAGGGGCTTGCCATCACTCCTCTCCTTTCCTCCACTGCTCAGTCTTCTTCTCTGCCAAGGCCTGGTTCAGACCCTGCCTCCTCCCTCAGGAAGACTTCCCTGTTCTCCCACAGCCCAGAATAGCATCTCCTTCCTATCTCTGGTATCTCTCTCCTCTGCCCCCTATTTGACACTCACGTGGTGGGAGAAAGACATGACCTGTCAGCCTTGATTTCCTTTTTTGGAAAATGGCAGTGCTGGTGCCTACCTATGGAGTTATTGAGAGGATGGATGGAGCACTTGGTAGCTCCTGGCCGGAAGTAGGGTCCCATCCCAGGTGGTGCTCCTTCCCTGCACAGGAGGGAGGAATGTTGCCCTGTGGATGGGTTACTCTCACTCACTGAGGGATACCAGGCCCCTGGACGGCAGGGCCCCTTACACAGCAGGTAGGTGGTAGAACTTTTGTTGGTTTATCGTAGAACGTAGTGTGTTTAGACAACAATGGTGTGTACACAAACCTCAGAGAGGGGATGGTATGTTACATGTACACATGTGAGTATGTACATGTGTTCTATCACAATACCACATGACATACATCTGTTTAGCAAGGTTCAGAGTGAGAGAATGGGTGAGACCCCCTGGGACTTTCAAAGAAATAGGATCAGGACAAATTGTAAGACATCTTGTTTTCTACCAAGGTGGAAACTGTAGCAGAGACATTGTTGCCCAAGAGGCTGAAACTAGAAACCAGGGACCTTGTTAGCCCTGAATGGACCCTTGGAATGGTCTAGTTCAGTATTTCTCAAGCTTTTTTGGTCTCTTTGGTCCATTTTTTTTATTTGTTTGTTTATTTGCTGTACCAGGGTTTGAACTCAGGGCCTACACCTTGAATCACTCCACCCACCCTTTTTTGTGATGGGTATTTTCGAGACAGTGTGTAGCAAACTATTAGCCTGGACTGGCTTTGAACCTCAATCCTCCTGATCTCTGCCTCCTGAGTAGCTAGGATTACAGGCATGAGCCACCAGCGCTTGGTTTCTTTGGTGCATTTATACTCTTAAAAAATACTGAGGATCGCAGAGACTTGGTTCATATGGATTTGAGCTAGCTAATGTTACCATTTCAGAAGTTTAAAGTAAGAGATTTTCAAGCTATATGTTAATTCATCTAAAAATAATAAACCAAGCATGCACTAACTTCAGTAATACTTTTATGAAAAAAAAGCTTTATTTTCCAAAACAAGATGTAATTGATGAGTAAGCTGAGTGGGCATCATTTTCCATGTTGCAGCCTTTCCATCACCAGAACACACATGGTCTCTCATGTACTTTGCAGTATGTTGTTTAGTTGAAAGCTGTGAAGAAAATCTGGCCTCACATGGACATGTAGTTGGAAAAGATACATAATTGTACCTTTCAGATACTTGCAGACAAAACTTGGCAAGTGGCACTTCCTGACACATTTGTTGTTGTGGGCACCCAATCCATCGCCCATGAACTTTTCATTCTCTGTCATACTAACATCCGCTGGTGCTTCTCTGCATGCATCTTTTACCCATGTATGACTTTGTGTCATACTTGGAACATGCTAGTCCACTGAGCATATGGCCTCCAAGTCTGGACCCATTTATTACACAATCCAGATAGAGTGGCCCTTATCCGAAATGCTTGGAACCAGAATGCTTCAGATTTCTGTTTCTCTGGATTTTGGACTATTTTGCATAGACTTAATCCATTTGGCAACCTTATTGTGAAAATTTAAAGTCTGAAATGACAGTAAAGTTTCAGATTAGGAATGCTCAATCTGTGTCAAAAACCCCCATTTGTAAATTTTACCCCTGACTTCAGCAGAAAAGATTTTACACTTGGAGAAGCTGTCAAGCCCATCATGGCACTGTGCAAGTTTTCTAAAACCGATTTTTGCTTGAAAGCTTAAATTTTACTTTTGTCAGTCGTTTTTCTTTGAAGCCATAGGCTCACTGCATCATTGTTAAGAAAATGTCTCCTAAATGGCCAAGGCTGAACTTTTCTAGTTTATCTGGCAGTACTTCTTTCCAATAAAAATGTGTCTGTGAACCAGATCAAGCAGCTGTATAATTCTTACTGCTTCATCCATGCCATTCTTCAGTGAAACTGGCCTTTCTCCTTCCCTCCCTTCCCTCCTCCCTTCCTCCCTATTGCCTTCCCTCCTTCCCTCTCCTCCCTTCCTTCCTTCCTTCCTTTGTTTTTTGGCAGAACTGGGGTTTAAACTCAGGGCCTACCACTTGAACTGTTTTAAAAATCCCATTCTAAAAGCACCACTTCATTCTCTAGGCAGGAAAATCAGATCCCAAGGAAAGGGTGTGAGAACAGAGTTCAGCTGGGCTCAGTGGCTTACATCTGTAATCCTAGCTATTCAGGAGGCAGAGATCAGTAGGATCACAGTTTGAGGCCATTTTGGGCTAAAAGTTAGCAAGATCCCATCTCAACAACAAAAAGTCTGGGTGTGGTGGTGTGCACCTGTCATCCCAGCTACATGGAAAGCATGAGTACTCAAAAATAACCAAAGCAGCGAGCATGGTGGCTCAAGTCTATAATCCTAGCTACTCAGGAAGTGGAGATTAGATCACAGTTTGAGGCCAGCCCAGGCAAAAACATGAGACTCCATCTCAACTAATGACTGGGTGTGATAGTTTCTACCTGTCATCCAAGCTGCATAGAGAAGCACAAATAAAACAAGCCCCTATCTCAAAAATAACCAATGCAAAAAAGGGCTGGCAAAATGTCTCATGTGGTAGAGCACTTGAAAGGCCCTGAGTTCAGCCTCCAGTACTGAAAAAAATCAGGGTAGGGGGCTGGAGGTGTGGCTCAAGTGGTAAGTTCCTGTCTAGCAAATGTGAGGCCCTGAGTTCAAACCCTAGTATCACCAAAAAAAGAAAGAAAGAAAAGAACAGTAGTCAGGTGCTGGTGGCTTATGCCTGTAATCCTAGCTACTCAAGAGGCAGAGATCAGAAGGATTGCAGTTCAAAGCCAGCCCAGGCAAGTAATTCACAAGACTGTATCTCAAAAAAATCTCATCACAAAAAAAGGGCTCAAGGTATAGGCCCTGAGTTCAAACCCCAGTACCACAAAAAAGAGAAGAAAAAGCAGAGCTCGGACTTTAGGTAGCTGATGTTCTGGTTCACCCTGCAGCCCGCCCCTCTGCCTGCAGAGGTTTACAGACACAGCACTGTGTGTGGGGGAGGCTACCCTTGAAGGCTGCCATGGGGAGGTACCATGGCACTCAGTTTCCCTGGACTGGATGGGCACCACAGCCTTCTCTGTCCTCACTCACCCTTGTCCTGCGCCTGCTGACAGCTGTCAGCAGCTGGCCTTCAGTGTCCTGTGGGCTCCTGGATTGCCATCCTAGGTGCATTGCTTGCTTTGAGGAAGAGCTGAATGAGCACTTCCACTCTCTGCCTGGGTTCCTAGATCTCCCCTGGGATACTTTGAGGTCCATTTTTCAGGGCACCACTCTTCAAACTATAGACTTTGGCATGTCAGATCCTATGGGGTGGGAGCTAGGGGGCTGATGAGAGACCTCTGAGTTATTTCATGGGCAGGGTCCTTTTCTCTACATCCCCCTAAGCTGTTGCATGTCCTCCCCTTCCTTTCTGCCAACAGAAAGACAACATGGAAATGATCAAGGCCCTCATTGTGTTTGGAGCAGAGGTGGATGCCCCCAATGACTTTGGGGAGACTCCTGCATTCATAGCCTCCAAGATCAGCAAACGTATGTGTTTTGCCCTCTGAGACCAGAGTTGGGTGAGGCTGGGATACAGAGACTAAGAAAGGATGTCTCTATCAGGTGATGGTGTCCTGTGCTGACCTCCCCATTGCTCCCTGCTGAGAGTGGGCAGGAGCACATGGGTCTCAGATGAGAGCTCCCTTCTTTAAGATGAGACCCACTAAGAGCTTTCTGAGCCTGGGTCTTCCTCCATGCAGCCTCATCCCACCTTAGGATGTTCAGGCTCCCAGTGGGGCGGGGACAGGGTGGCCGCAGCAGGACAGCCTGGGGTCAGTGCATGCGCTGTGCATGCCCTCACATCCCATGCATGCCCTTGTGTGCACAGATAGGTTGTGTGTGCTCTGCATCCCTGCCCACTGAGCCTGGCTTCAGCAGGAGGCAGGACCTCCTCACAGAAGCCTGGAGCCCACTCTGGAGGGTTCTAGGGAGCTGTGGACTACTGTGGGTGTGGGCCCAATTGTGTGACTCCACCCCTTCCCTCTGGAGAGAGTTCAGCCCTCACCTTCGGCTTAAACAAGCTTGGTGTTCCTCTCCCCTCCCCAGCCTCCTCTTCATCTATGCCCCAGCCCTAGAATCAGAGCAGCCCCCAGAGAGAAGTAAAGGCCCCAGAGTGAAAGGATGCTGCTGCTTGTGACATACCTGTCTGTTACCCCACTCTGTTAATGGGGTTCATGCCTCCTAATTGTCTGCTTTTGAGAACTGTTAACTGTGGAGGTGGGAGCCTTGCCTCCTTGGTTGGAGTAGAAGGAAAGAAGGAATACCCAAAATAATGGGTCAGGCAACTCTGCCCTCCTGCCATATCCCGCCGTCGTCCCCCAGCACCTTCCCCAGAGCCAGGAGGCAGTTTGAACATAACAGTTCACAGTCAGTACACCCTGTCAGACTCCCCACACAGCCAGGTAGTGGGGCAGGGGCCTGGGTGTAGAAGGAGGGATCTCACTTGCATGTTGACACCAACTTTATCCTCCACCATGTCCCCTTTCCAAACTATGACAAGTGGCCACCAGGAAGGCGATCTTGACTCTGCTGAGAACCGTGGGGGCTGACTACCACTTCTCAGCCATCCAAGGTGTCTCCATGGAGCAGGAGTCTGCGGCATCACCCTTGTTCTCCCTGGAGAGAGCTCAGGCCCCAACGATCAGCTTAAACAACTTAGGTAGGCCACTTCCCTTCCCAGCCCTCCTCTCCAGCTGCGCTCAGATCCCTGGATCTGAGCAACCCCAACCAGAAACAGGCCCAACCCAGGATGGAAGTAGTTGAAGGGAGTGAGGGGAGGGGGGCAAGATTTATTAGCCAATATAGGCAGCCAAGCAACCCACAGATCCCGAAGGCCTAAGGGGTTCCTAAGAGGATGCCCTGAACATGGTCTCAGGTTGGGCATTTCCCATGGCACCCATGATATGGGTCCCCTGGGAGCTCAGTGAAGGCCCTCAGGCCCTCTGAGTTCAACCTTGTCACATGGTTTGGCTCTGTCCAGGGTGAGTCCTGGTATGCCCCCTGCTGGCCCCTTTGGTGACCTACAGATTTTTGGAGGTGGCTAGATAACCATTTGTCCCTGTCATCCTTGGTGCCCTAGGAGACAGCCCCAGAGGAGAGGTCTCTGGGCCTTCTGCTCTGGCCTACCAGGGTCTTAGGTTGTTTGAGTGTGGAGTCCCTAAACTGAGTGGCTAGGAAGCGATTCTTGGTAAGCCAGACGTTGTTTTTGTGTAGGAGGCAGTCCCTAGCCCCTCTAGCCAGCAATGCCCAGCCAGGCCAGGAGCTCCAGAGGGGCAGAGCAGCTGCTGCCCCTCTTCCTATGCATCCCTTGGTAGCTCTTCCCAGGCCCCATCTTTCTCTCTCCATTTCACAGGCAGTCAGTCACCCAACCTAGGCTGGATGGTGGGCCTGGGCATGGCAGCAGAAGGGTAATTCCTGGGCCTAGAGAGACCTCTGAGCCCAGTCCTGCCCCACAGTAGCTGTAGCTTTGGTTCCCCCCACCTCATTTCCTCAACCTCACACCCAGACATATGCACCTTTCCCAGTCCCTCTCCCCAGCACTCTCTGCTGCTAGCCTTCTGCTTCCCCTGCCTGCTGTGTGCCTGATCAGGCGAGACACTGCCTTGTGCCTGCCTGCCTGCCTTGCTGCCTCTAGTCTCTGCACAGGGGGGTGGGTGGGCTGTCATTTATAGTCATGCGGTAGTGCTGGGCTGGGCACCTGGGGCTATGCGCGTCAGGAGGGTGAGCATGGGCGAGGCCTTCGGCTCAGAGGAAGACTAGATAGAGTGGATAGGTGGAACTGAACCACCTCAGAGGCCACTGAGGGAGTTTCCAGACCTGGGACTAGGACAAAGATGGTCTGAAAGATGGTTAGGATGCCTCTCTCTACTTGTAGACTTCAACCCAAGCAACATCCTCACTAAGCCCTTTTGGCTGAAGGACCTTGGGTGAGTCATTGAGACTCTTTGGGGCTTCCACTGGCAGTAAATTGGGAATAGTAATTTTTTTTTGGTGGTACTGGGGGTTGAACTCAGGGCTTCATGCTTGTTAGGAATGTGCTCTACCATTTGAGCCATGCCCAGCCCCTTTTTGCCTTGGTTATTTTTTGGGATGGGGTCTCGCTTTATGCTCAGACAAACCTGGACCCTTATTCTCCTGTTTAACTTCTCACGTAGCTAACACGCATCACCACACCCAGCTTTTTTAAATTGGTGGAGATGGGTCTTGTGAACTTTTTTGGAGGGACACATGGTGCCAGATTTGCTCTAGGGACCCATGGGCCATGGGGTTGGGGGTCGGCCAACCCCAGCATGCCCTGCCCTATGCCCCGCAGAGCTGCAGGACCTCATGCAAATCTCCCGGGCACGGAAGCCAGCGTTCATCCTGAACTCCATGAGGGATGAGAAGCGGACGTAAGTGGAGCATGGGCTAGGGCCAGTATGCAAAACCTTCCCTGGTGCTCAGCAGGCTTTTATCTCCCTCCCCCACCCACCAAGGCCCTGCGAGGCACCTCCTCTGCTAGCTCTGTAGTTCATGGCAGAGACCAAGCCCTGGGGCCTGTGCTGCCTTGTCCATTAGCAACAGGCAGTGCAGGCTCAAGGGACCAGAGCAGGGTCATGCAGCTGGGCCACAGTGGGGCCCATGACTACGCTGCCTCATTGCTTTCCTCCCTGATCTCATGAAGGTTCCAAGCGGGGAGAGAGAGGTTGTCCAGCCCCCTCTGGAGAGACTCCGTCCACTGCTTCCCTGTACTCGCACTGGCTTCTTCATTTGCCTTCCATCCTCCACAGATTTGCTGCTTTTCCAAGCTGTCTTCAGGACTAACGTGGGAGGCAGGTCCTGGGGAAGTGATGAGAATTACGAGGCCCTTTGTGGAGGCCAAATTATGTTACCAGATGCTCCCCCTCCTCCCCCATAGGCCCTGGCTCTGGGTGTGAACACTTTCCTACATTAAGAGAAAGTTATATCTGCCTGACCTCTCTGTTGTTAGGCCCACATCTTCAGGGGAGCCTTGTTTGCTCTGGCCTCCCTGGCCAGGGCTCTCCAGCCTCCAGCAGCAGTGCAACCTCCCCCTCTGGGCTTGCTGAGTACCGAGTACCTGGTCCAGAAGGCTCCTGGAGGTGGAACACAGGCCTCCTTCACTTACCTGCTCTCCTGCATCCCCTGGACATGTGGTGCTGCACAGAGCAGAGCCACACCCACCCTTGCAGAACTTCTAGTCCAGAGGAGGGGGAGAGTAAGCAAGTGAACAAAGATGACAAGGGGACCATAGGGGAGCAGGGGGGCTGGTTCTACTGGCACTGGGTGGGTTTCCCTCACATTGAGAGGGAAAGAGAAGAAGTGGGCCAGAAGGAAAGACAGAGCAGACAATGAGAGCATCCCCTCAGGCCTGACCAAAGAGGGCAGGTACCTGGCATTTTCTGCTGTGGGAGCTGGGCTGGGAAGGACCTAGAGTATGTGACTTAGAAGCCAGCTGTGTGGTTCTGTGCCAGTTTCCTAGCTTCTGCACTGCATTCCTTCATTCAAAGATGGCATAGGGATAGCAGAGAGTGGCCTCCTCAAAAGAGTTTGGGACAATAAAGTGAGCTAAATCCGGTCCTGACACATAAACCTTCTATCCGCCCTACCCCTCCTCCCACGCTCCTCCCTTCCTAGAGGAGAGCCTTGCCTCTCTCACCACCTGCACCTGGCCTGGCTATAGGGAACCAGTCCTCCTATCCTGCTCTGTTTACTTCCAACAGACACCTCAGGCACCTGCTCTGGGTCAGGCCTGGAACTGACCCAAATTGGGTCACTGCCTTGGAGAGCTCCCTGCTCCACTCCTTATCTTCTTTTCCCTTTGCACCCCAAGAAACACTGTGTTCATTTCTTACCTGCCTTCATCGCCCCCACCCTTGCCCCAGTAGCACTCAGGCTCCATGGCAGGCTTTGTCAGCTTTGTGCATTGTCCACTGTGGTACAGATGCTTGGGGACACAGGCTGAGAGTGTGTGGTGTGAATGTCAGGCCATCACAGAACTCTCCTTATTCCTACTACTGTCTTCATTGCAGCCATGACCACCTGCTCTGCCTGGATGGAGGGGGCGTGAAAGGCCTGGTCATCATCCAGCTCCTCATCGCTATTGAGAAGGCCTCAGGCATGGCCACCAAGGACCTCTTTGACTGGGTGGCGGGGACCAGCACAGGGGGCATCCTCGCCCTGGCCATTCTGCACAGTGAGCACAGCCTCTGGGGCAGGTCAGAGTGGGGTGGGTGGAGTCAGACCTCCCCTCAAAGGGGCCAAGTGAATTTGCAGAGCTTTGCTCAAGGTGTGTGTGGTGGGAGGTGGGTTTGAGCAGGATTTTGGCCCTTCATCGGGTGCTATAGGTGCTGAGATCCCAGACTGGAAGGAGGAAGGCTATGTGGATGGGCTGGCTGGAGGGCAAAGCTAGTTCTGGAGGCATTTATATATCCATGGCCTTGACCCCTCCACACACCCTTTCAAGGCAGCACCACAGGTCTTGCCACTTGCCCCAACTAGAAAAACTGAGGGTGGGTGCACTCTCCAGAGTGGGGAGCCACTGAGTCACAGAGTGTCAGAGCCCCTCCTCTACTACCTGCACTGGCCCATGACTCCAAGACTGGCCTGTGCACCGTGCTCTCCTCCAGTTTCCCCATGCCTCTCCTCCCTGTTTCCAGGCAAGTCCATGGCTTACATGCGTGGCGTGTACTTCCGCATGAAGGATGAGGTGTTCCGGGGCTCGCGGCCCTACGAGTCGGGGCCCCTGGAGGAGTTCCTGAAGCGGGAGTTTGGGGAACACACCAAGATGACAGACGTCAAGAAACCCAAGTAAGCCCCCTCCAGCCAGCTGCTCCCTGGCAGAGGTCCCCCGGCCTACTGTGCCTACAGCTTGGGGGTGGGAGAGCAGGTCATCCTTCCAGCTGAGGGGCTTCCCCTGAGAACACTGGACGAATGGCCATCTGGGTGGGAGCAAAGGGGCTGCCAGCACACAGCCATGCTGAGGGCAGAGGAGGGCCTGACTCGGGCCTGGAGCTGCCTCCAGAGAGCCAGGACTCCTTTCTTGGAGGCCAACTGGATAAAGGCAATTTCTTGGTGTCCAAGCCAGAGGACCCTCTAGCCTTTCACATAGTACAGCTGAGCACGTCAGTGCGTCAGACAGCACTTGGTGCTATGTTCAGATGTTGAAGTTTTAATCAGTCGGCTTCCGTTCTGCCTTCAATTTAAGGTGGACACATTTGAACTCATGTAAGCCAGGCTGGGGCCTAAAGAAGAGAGTCACATGGGCATAAGCATGTTTGGGGGGGTCCCACACCCCAAGAGGGCCTTCCTTCCCGAGACTACTTTGGTGCTGAGTAAAAGGGGACTACTCAGAGTTGGCCGGCCATCCTAGTCTGGGGGAGCCTCAGCCAGATCCAGACCCCCTTCTCTGAGCTTGGCCCAGTGAGGTTGGGGAAAGGAGAGGTACACAGTGGGGACTCACCTGGGACTCCCTGCCATGGACAGGGATCCAAATTTCTTCCAAATCCTGATTCCCAGTAGCTCAGCTCTTTGCACTTAGGAAAGGCTCACTCAGTTCATCCAACCTCCAGCCGCCTGGAGGGAGGGGTGTGTGTCCCAGGCCACAGGAAGGCAGCAAAGGCCGCCCTTTTGATGCTGATCTTGTCTGATGCTGCCTTCTCCCCACACATAGACAGCCTGGCCAACATCGCTCTTGTCTCCCACCCACTCGGTACCTCTGTTAAGCCAGCTCTGCAGTGTGTATAAAGTGGAAGGAAGAGGGACACACCTACAGACTGGTTAGGAGATAAGTAGACTGAAAAATGGCAGCCAAGCAGGGCAGCAGGCTTAAGAGGTTCCGGAAGAGCCTACAGATGCCCATTTGTTCTGCAGTGTAACCAACCTGCAATGAGGCCTGCCTCCTGTTCCAGGCTGTGAGCTTCCAGAATGCAGGAACATGACTGCTGTGTTTTCCTCGGTAGCCTCAACCTCTAGCCCAGTGCCTGCTGTAGAGCTGTCAACTGACTGAGTGTCTAGGGGGCAACAGGAAGGAGGGAGGGCTGCCTGGAGGAAGCAGAGTGTGAGCAAAGTCCAATAGGTTAGAGTTTCTTTACAATACAGCTTTATTTTTGTCGTTTTAAGAGTAATACATAGTCTTTTTCTTTTCTTTTTTGTGGTACTGGGGTTTGAACTCAGGGCCTCCATCTTGAGCCACTCTGCCAGCCCTTTTTTGTGCTGGGTTTTTGGGTTTTTTTGAGATAGAGTCTCTTAAACTATTTACCTGGGCTGGCTTCGAACTGCAATCCTCCTGATCTTTGCCTTCTGAGTAGCTAGGATTACAGGTGTGAGCCACCAGCACCTGGATAGAGTAATCCATAGACTTTTAAGGAAAATTGGGAAATACAGGAGTTAAAAAGAACAATTTGTTAACCAAAGGCAATCTTTTCATTTATTTATTTATTCAGGGCCTCACACTTGCTAGGCAGGTGCTCTACTACTTGAGCCACACCTCCCACTCTTTTTGTTTTAGTTATTTTTCAGATAGGATCTCAAGTTCTTGCCCAGAGCTGACCTGAAACATGATCCTACCGACACCTCCTGAGATGGCAGGTGTTACCACTCTACCCAGCTTATTCTTTGAGATAGGACTTCACCAACTTTTGCCCAGGCTGGCCTTGAACCACCATTCTCCTATCTCTGCCTCCCAAGTAGCTGGGATCACAGGTGTGAGCTGTGAGTATCCAGCAAAATGCAATGTTTTTAAAACATTGTCCATATTTTTTTCTGGATAGTTTTTCTTCTTTATGGTGAAATAGAACATACGTTCTTAAAAAGCATGTACACAAGTTCATGGATACTTTATAAAGAAAAGAGCCACCAGCCAGGTCTCACCCCACCCCACCACAGCTCCATCCCTCCCACCAGGCAGCTGCCATCCTGACTGTGGAGTTTCCCGCCCCCCCAAATGCTGCACTGCACAGCAGTATGGATGGAGTCTTCTGTGTGTCCTCTCTCTTCCTCCGTGACTGTCTGTGTCTGTGTGCTTGTCATCTGGAGGGTTGCATCAGCTCCGTAGGCCTGGCAGCTAATCCCTCCAAGTCCCCGTGGTGGACACTCTTGCCCAGAGGCGGCAGTGATCTTTCTGACTGTGTCTCTCTGGGACATGAGTCTAGAAGCAGAGTTGCCTAGTCCTGGATCATCAGGGCCCCAGCTCTTCAGGTCCTGCCCACCCGTTCTCAGGTTGTTCCTGTGTCTGTCCCCTGACAGTTCGGCATTCCTGTTCACGTTGGTTAGCTCAAACAGCTTTACCTTTATAAATCCAGACTGGAAAGTGGTGTCTCCATGTGGTTTGCATATTTTTTTTCTTTTTTACAAACATTTTTATTAGCATGTGGTAGTTATACAGGGGGTTTGCTGTGACATTTCCAATCCCTCCATTCTCCCTCTTCTCCATTCCTCTTCCTAGAATGACTTAGGTTTCCATGTTCCATGTTCATGTGGGTATAGAAAAGACCTCAATATTCACCCTGCTTTACCCTCCCCTCCCCCATCATTCTCCCTTAACATGGCCTGTCATTGGTTAAGTGTCTGTTCATTGCTTGGTGGGGTTTGCCTTGTTGTTTTACCTGGGAGTGTATTGTGCTTTTATCAGTCTAACACCCTTTGAATTTTCATTTTCCTGATTACTAGTGAGATCAAGTGCCTTTCATTTGGATTTCTTTGTAAAATTCATATTGAAAGGTTTTTTGTTTTGTTTTTTTTGGTGGTACCTAGAGTTGAACTCAGGACCTAGTGCTTGCTAGGCAGGCACTCTGCCTCTTGAACCACTCTGCCAGCCCATTTTGCATTGGTCATTTTTGAGGTAGGGTCTCACTTTATGCCTAGGCCAGCCTGGATCCTAAGTTTCTTATCTGTGCTCCAAGTAGCTGGGATGGCAGGCCTATGCCACTGTGCCCAGCCATTGGTTTAAATGGAATCTCTTGAACTTTTTGCCCAGACCTCAAACCACCATCCTCCTGATTTCCACTTCCTAAATAGCTAGGATTACAGACTTTAGCCACAACGCCAGGCTTTTTTTTTTGGCAGTATTGAAGTTTGAACTCAGGACCTCACATTTGGTAGGCAGGCACTCCCACTTGAGCCATGCTTCCAACCTTTTTCACTTCAGTTATTTATTGGATAGGGTCTCAACGTTTTATCTGGGGCCAGCTGAGGCTGTAGTCCTCCTACCTAGGGCCTTCTGCATAGCTGTGAACATAGGACAGGTACAGTACCACACCTGGCTTATCAGATGAGATGGGGTCTCACTAATGTTTTGCCTGGGCTGGCCTCAAATCCTGATCCTCCTCATCTCTACCTCCTGAATATCTAGGATTATAGGCATGAGCTACTGTACCCAACTAACTTTTTTTTTTTTGGCAATACCGGGGTTTGAACTCAGAGCCTCATGATTGCTAGGCTCTATCACTTGAACCACTTCACTAGCCCTTGTATGTGTTCATTATTTTAGAGATAAGGTCTCCTGAACTACTTGCTTGGGCTGGCTTTGAACAGCCATCCTCCTGATCCTCCTGATCTCTGCCTCCTAAGTAGCTAGGATTACAGGTGTGAGCCACCAGTGCCCGACTTTTTTTTTTTTTAATGAGACAAGATCTTTCCCTGTAGCCCAGTCTGGCCTCAAATTCACTACATAGTCCAGGATGGTCTCTAACTCAATGATCCTCTTGCCTCTGCCTCCCAAGGGCTGGGATTACAGAAGTGCACTGTGGTGCCTGGCACTCCTTGTTCTTGGCATTTAGTCCGTGTGTGGGTTTTTAATACATAGTATTAATTTCTCAATTAGTTAAGCCTGATGTAGTTGATCGATTTGACCTGAAAACCTCATTTGATTAGTGTGTGTTTAACCAAGTTCATGACTGTCTTGCTTACATTTAAGCCACTGACATATCTGGGCATGACTTATGCCACCCTATTTTGGTTGTGTTTCCTTTTCTCTTTCTTGCCTTGTTTTGGGTTTACTGAATAATTTTAACATTACATTCCACTGTACTTCCAACAGTTTAAAAACCAAAGTTTAGAAACCTGGCTCATTATCCCTTTCAATAGTTTGAAATTTAAGGAATGGAGGTATGGCTCAAGCAGTAGAGTGCCTGCCTTACAAGCACGAAGCCCCAAGTTCAAACCCCAGTACCACCCAAAAAAATAAATAGGTAAACAAATAGTTTGAAATTTTTCCACTTATCTCGGTGTGTTCTAGTGGATATTTAACTTCTAAAAGCCTAAATTTAATTGTTAACATTACCCTCTCATCAGATAGTCAAGAAGTTTAGAATAATTTAATTTCTTATACCATCTCCCATCCTACCCAAAGTTGCTTTTCTGTATTTTAATATGTCTTGTTTTTTAAAGCCCCACAAGACATTGATATTGTTTTTTAACTTGTTGTTTATTTGGATTGATCTGGTCTGATCAGTGGATAGCCCCGATTTTAGTGTTGCCAATTCCATGGCACAAAAACTCCCACCATGGCCAGTTTCAAGCTAACAACAGTTTAGCAACCAGCTTCTGAGGTTTGGCAGTGGGTTCTTACAAGCGAGCATGAGCTGATGCCAGGACACCATTGCGTGTGTGTGTGTGTGTGTGTGTGTGTGTGTGTGTGTGTACGTGTGTACACGTGAGTGTGTGAGTACATATGTGTATGACTTCCTTGCTTTACATTCTTTCTTGCATATTGGACTTCCATCTATGGTTACTTTCTTGTATCTAAAAGACATTCTTTTGACTTTCCCTTAGGGTCTGCTGATAGCAAATTCTCTGCCAGCAGAATTATTTGGAAATAAGTTTTTTTCACATCAGCATTTGGAAATATTTTTATTTCACTCTTATTCTTGCTGGACATAGAATACTAGCCTGGAGATTTTTCTTAGAATACGTAAGATACTCTTTTGTCATTTGTTAACTTCCATTGCAGCATAACCTCAATCTGTTACTCATTTGAAGGTAATTGGTCTTTTTTCTTCTGGATTCTTTTTTGTTTGCTTCTTGGTTGGTTTTTGGTGCTCTGTGTTTGCACTAAGTTTTATCTAGATATGACTTTTCCTAATTTACCCTGCATAGGATTTGTTGGTCTTTTGGAATGTTTGAACTGGTGTCTTTCTTCATTTTTGGAAACCCAAGTCATTATCTCTTTAAATCTTGTTTTTGCTTAGTTTTCTCTCTCTGCTCCTTACATAAAATCACTTAAACACACATTAGACCTTTTCTTTCTTCCATGTATTTTTCCATTAATTTGTATTTTCTATCACTTTATCTCTGTGTTACATTCTGGATAATTTCTTCTTACTTATTTTCCTGTTCACTAATTCTCTCTTCAGCTCTAATTTTCTATTTTATACATCCATTGAGTTCACTAGTCTCAAAAAGCACTCTTTGGTTCTTCTTTAAATCTTCTAAGTCATTACTTAGTTTCCTATCCCCTTAAGATATTATCAAGTTTTTATTTGATGTCTTTAAACCTTGTAAACTTAGCTGTTTTACTGTTCTTTTTTTTTCAGTACTGGGGTTTGAACTTAGGGCCTACCTCTTGAGCCACTCCACCAACCCTTTTTTGTGAAGGGTTTTTTTCAAGATAAGGTCTCATGAATCATTTTCCCAGGCTAGCTTTAAACTGTGATCCTCCGGATCTCTGCCTCCTGAGTAGCTAGGATTATAGGCGTGAGCCACTAGTGCCCTGCAACCATCTTGGTTTGAGGTTCAAAAATCTGCAGTGTAGGTGGGTATGTTTTCTGTTTCTGTGGTGCTATTTCTCACAGTGTTGTATTTAATTGCAGGTACTCCTCCCTCTATTTTTAACTATGCGCTGTTCCTTAGTGTTGAAAAATAATACATGCAGACTTGTTGAAGCCCAGAATGGGTGTCTTTCCTCCAGAGTGTTGTCTCTTCCAGGTACCTGGGTATATCATCACCTAGGTCACTGTCACTAAACTGTTAGCATGAAGGTTTTAGAACTTTCTTTCAGGTGATGTGAATCTAGACTATAAATTTTCAACAGGGCTAGTGTAGTTACACATTTTCAGGGATTTTTTTCCCTCATTTTGTTCACTGTTAGGGAAATTTTTTTTGCAGTCTCCAGGGCAGGAAAGGGGCAGGTTTGTTTCTGGTTCACCTTTATTTTGAGAGTATAACCCTTTGGGATCCCAACCCAGTGTAGGAAGGCCTTTCCACTAGACCCCTTACCTTTGGTGGACCCTAGGCTTTGACTTCTGTCCTCCCCCTTGCCCTCAAGATCATCTACACTGAAGTGCAGGTTTGCTGGGTTTGGGATCTGCCTTCAGGTCAGAGCTGCGCTGCATTCTTGCTTGTCTTCAGGCTTTACCCTGCTGTTTCCTTTCTATCTTGTCAGGTCTCCCATGTTTTTAAGAAGATCAAAAAAGGGGCTGGTGGAGTGACTCAAGTGGTAGAACACCTGCCTAGCAAGGCAGGGCCTTGCAAGGTGAGGGCCTGAGTTCAAACAACAGTACTCCTCCCATCCCTGCCCCACCCCCAAAAAAAAGAAGATTAAAATAAATTTTTTTTGCCAGGCACTGGTAGCTCACACCTGTAATCCTAGCTACTCAGAAGGCAGAGATCAGGAGGATGGCAGTTGAAAGCCAGCTGGGCAAATAGTTCACAAGACCCTATCTCAGAAAGAAAAAAAAAAATCACAAAAAAAGGGCTGGTAGAGTGGCCCAAGGTGTAGGCCCTGAGTTCAAGCCCCAGTACTGCAAAAAAAAAAAAAAAAAAAAAAAATTGCCAACATGGCAATTTTTTTCAGTAGGAGCATGTTCAAATAATCTTGCTAGAAGTGAAAACTAATCCTTGTTGTTGCTCTATGCAGGTTTTTGTGTTCTTTCCTTCAGATTTGTCTTTACGATACACCACATTTCCGGGTCACTCTAAGCTCCCTGTGAGCGTAACATTAAATGACTGCCCTGCATTTCCTGGCTCGCTTACCCCTTGCATTGCCCAGTTCCATTTTCACCGTAACAAGTTCCATCGTGATGAGTGGCCTTATTCAAGTAGCTTTCGTAGTAGTTAAGGTGGATGGCTTTTCCAGGGTAGAATTCTCAGATCAAAGAGCCAGGCCTGGGTAAGGACCTTAATGAGCATCTTAAACACTTAATGCTATAGAAGAGTCTCTCTCAGGCCAAAGAGGAGGCTTCTTCATAGGCTGTCCTCACATGATAGACCGTTGAAAAGGTATCAAAGGTCACACAGTGAGGCGTCTCCTCCCCCTGCTGTTCTGGAGCTGCAGGCACCAAGCGGCTACCCTTCCCAAAGTCACCTAACTGCTGCCAGGTGCCACCCCTGGGTCCTCTGGCCATGCAAAGAGAGATGTGTGTTGTTTGCATTTTTAAATAAACAGTGGCATACTAAATGCACTGTCCTGACCTTGTTTTTCTACATAGTCTATATCTGTCAGCACATAAGCACTTCCTCAGTCATTCGACAGTGACACAGAGCCCATCAGGTGGATGGTCGCAGTGTACTATTGTCTCATTGAGGACACTTTAGTTGTTTTAGTCATTTGTTTTGTTTTGTTTTCGTTTTATTTTGAGACAGGGTCTTACTATGTAGCTCAGGCTGGCCTCAATCTCATAATCTTCCTGCCTGTGCCTCCCCAGTACTGGGATTATAGATGTGAACCACCACGCCCAGCTCAGTTGTTTGCTTTAATAACAAATACTGCCATTAATGGTTGTGTGCAGACTGTTTTCCACACGTGACAGCTTTGCAGGATGAATCCCACAAGTGGGATTATTGGGTGTAAGGATAAACCCATTAGCAATTTGGGCTAAGTTGTCCAAATTCCTTCCATGAGTCTGTACCAGTTTGATTCTCCCAGCACTGCAGGAGACAGCCTGCTTGGGGAGGACAAAGGGGGAGAGGCCCACTCACCTAGAACAAAGGGTGCCCATGGGCCTGGGAACATGAGTGTTCACGAGTCTGGGCAAGGGCAGAGGTGACTGGGTGACAGGACGAACCCTCCTTCTGTGCTTCTCTGCAGGGTGATGCTGACAGGAACGCTGTCTGACCGGCAGCCAGCCGAGCTCCACCTCTTCCGGAATTATGAGGCTCCAGAGGCCACTCGGGAGCCTCGGTTCAGCCAGAATATTAACCTAAAGCCTCTGACTCAGCCCTCAGGTTTAAACCATATTTGATGCTTCAGTGGGTGGGGCTGGCCTGGAGGCAGCAGGCAATAATAGGTGGAAGTCTCAGTTGTGACATTGGGCACCCTTAACCCCACCTCACCCCACCACCCTGGTCTTGGTTGGCTGAGCAGGCATTGCTGGGGGCTCTCAGTGACACCTACCTTCCACCAGGATGGTAGGGCCTGACGGCAAGGCCTGCAGGTCCTACTTCTGAAACGCCCCCTGCCTCCCTCACTTCATTCCCTGCCCCCACATGTGCACCCTGAGATCTGATGTATACAGGTCTTATACCAGACCCTTGTGCCAATGGGCCAACCTCCTCCCTAACCCCCAGACCAGCTGGTATGGCGAGCAGCCCGGAGCAGTGGGGCAGCCCCCACCTACTTCCGGCCCAATGGGCGCTTCCTGGATGGTGGGTTGCTGGCCAACAACCCCACACTGGACGCCATGACTGAGATCCATGAGTACAACCAGGACATGATCCGCAAGGTGAGAGCCATCTCAGGTCACAGGCTGGACATGACCCCTCCCCCAACAGTGGCTTTTATGCGCTCTGTCATCATACAGTATGATACAGCTGAACCTGTCTGATGGGTAGTGAGGGGATTCCATGTGCCAAGGCCCAGTCGGCACTCAACGTACAGAGTGCTGATCAACGGACAGTGCCGCTGTCAGCAGGGAGGGCAACGTGGAGGCAGTGTGCAGGCCACATGCCTGCCTCTCTGCCCAGCCAGGACACATCTGCCCTGGGCAGACTGTGTCATCAGGGATACGCCCCTGAAAGCGTACATACAGGGAGCTAGGAGGAAGAGGCCTGGGGACGCGGGAAAGGCTCCCAGCCTCACCGAGGCCTCATGATGAAGCAGGGCAACCATGCCCCCTCCACAACCTGGCAGACGACTGATACCTATAACTAACAGGTAGAGATCTGGAACTTGCCCTCCCTTTCCTGCCTTGGCTGACCTTCACCCCATGGGCAATGCCTGGGCTGGCTATGTGAGGCCTGTTGATACACCAGGCTGGCCCAGGAGATGGCTGTGACGCCCACCAACCTTTCTGGGGCGGGGGCTACAACTCAGAGACATGGCCAGATCCCTCCTCCAAGTGCTGGTCAGGATAGCACGGGTGTGCTCCTACTCCCAGAGGCTTCATCCCTGACCCCAGCAGCAACACCCAGCCTTGGCCTTTCTCTGAACCCCCTGGGGCTCCCACACATGTTAAGTCTCCTCTGACTACCCCTGTCCTGTTCACCCACAGGGGCAGGGTAACAAAGTGAAGAAACTCTCCATCGTTGTCTCTCTGGGGACAGGGAAGTCCCCACAGGTGCCTGTGACCTGTGTGGATGTCTTCCGCCCTAGCAACCCCTGGGAACTGGCCAAGACTGTTTTTGGGGCCAAGGAACTGGGCAAGATGGTGGTGGACTGTGTGAGTTGGAGCTCTCCTCCAAGCCTATATCCCTCAGGGTTGCTAATCCAGGCCGATGCCACCACCTCTCCCATGGGGTGATGATGGGGCTCTGTCGGTTCCCTTTCGCCAGCTGTGGGAGCGTCCCTGATTCCAAGTCTCTGGGCTGGGTGGGTCCCTTAGTGACACCTGCAGTGGGAGTTTTCAAGTGTTCCTTGGCTGTGGATCCCTTTTTGCAAACAGCCCAGTATGAAAGGCCAGAATATACCATCAACCTCCCTGCTAGAATAGGGAGGGGTTGGGGCGGCCTGCCCGCTCAGCCACTGTCCCCAAAGCCCCTTAGCGATCTTGAAAGACTCTGTTGAGCCCCATGTAAAACTGCAGACCCTGCCCTCTCTGTTCAGCTGAGCTAGTCACTGAGGCCCAGGGAGAGAGAGTTGCCCAAAGTCACTCTGCTGATGGTGGCTAGAGCCCAGGGATCTCCGGGAGAAGGGAACCCCAGGATAGGGCCAGTGCTGGGCACTTCAGGCTGAGCTCACAGAGGCTGCTTCTCACCAGTGCACAGATCCAGATGGGCGGGCCGTGGACCGGGCACGGGCCTGGTGTGAGATGGTCGGCATCCAGTACTTCAGGTGAGACTCGGGCCGGCCTGGCTGCACCCTGGTCTGGCTGGACCCATCAACTCCCCAGCTCCAGCCCTTGGCGTGGATTTCCCCTGCTCTGTTCTTCAGGCCCATCCCAGTCCTAGCTCTTAGCCCACCTGGGCCAAGCATGCTGGGTGACCCCTCCTCCTTGGTTCCGACAGATTGAACCCCCAGCTAGGGTCAGACATCATGCTGGACGAGGTCAGTGACGCAGTGCTGGTCAATGCCCTTTGGGAGACTGAGGTCTACATCTATGAGCACCGAGAGCAGTTCCAGAAGCTCGTCCAGCTGCTGCTCTTGCCCTGAGCCCCCAGCCCCTTCATGTAAGGGTGGGCAAGGCCACCCACCATACTGGGGCAGAGCCAGGCCAGGCGGCTCCACATCTACTCATGAACTAGGACTTGGAGTGGGTGCAGCTTCCTCCCAAGGCCAGTGCTAAGGCCTCCGTCCTGGGTCCACCCGCACCTTGTTATTCCAGGCTGAGAGCCCAGAGCCTCCCTCAGCCCCTTTCCCTGACTGTGAAGGAAAACTGACTTGACCCACAACCCTGCACCCCTCAGCTCCAACACTAAGGGTACCCAGTGTCCCCACCCCTCACCTAGCCCCAGAGGCCTGCGAGGGCTCCCCAAGGTCTTCTGGAGGTGCGACTCCCCCATTCAGCCCTCTTTCCTAGGGGCAGAGAGTAGAGAAATGGTATCCCCACCCTACCAGCCAGGAAAACCCAGGTTCCAGGACTGGGGTGTTCCATTCGACTTTGCCCTCCACACACCTCAGCCACCCCACCGGAGAGCCCTCCCAGCTCCCAAAGGTCATTCCTGTGAGCAAACTTGCTCTTCTCTATGGAAGTGGTGTGCAAGTGGGGAGGGGCCCAGGGGCTGCCCCAAAACTGTGAAATAAACTGTTTGGACTCAGGTTCACCTGTGTTGTGTATCCTGTGGTGCGAGTGTGCCCCCTCGGCCTCTGCCTGGCCGCCACTTGGCCTCTTCCTGTGTCTTCTTCCCACACCAAGGCTCCCTGGGACGGGGGACCTCCCTTGTCCTCCAGTTCTCCCATAATAGGCCAGTAGGGTGACCAGAGATTGCTGCCAGGCCCACCTGCCCCAGGCAAGCCCATGGGGGAGGAGGAGAGCCCCACTTAAGACCCTGCTCAGGCAGGGAACCTGCACAGGGTCAGGCAGCAGGTGAGCAGGGCCATGGTTTGCCCTAGGCTTGTGTAACTCGGGTTTGTGTTGCCCCCTCTCTGGCACTCAGATGACCTAGGGCTCGGGTTGAGCTTAGCAATACAGCAGTTTCCTGGCATTTATGAAGTCTTGGTGGGTGTGGCAAGCTCATTTTAACCCTCTCCAAAAAAAAAAAAAAAAAAAAACAAGACCTGGGTGGGCAGCAGTAGCTACAAGAGGTACAGTGGATATAGCCCCCACCCTTGGCACAGATCTGAAGGCACAGAACAGGGGCGAGGCCTGGGGACAGTGACATATCCACTGTGTGTGTTCTCCTCCAAGATGCTTCGGCTGGCTCTGGCAGGAGGGCCCAGGAGGAAGGTGTTGAGTGCTCCAGCCCTGTAGGGTGGACAATGTCCTGTAGAGGCAGAGGGCAGGATAGGGTGCCCCAGGGCCAGGAATGTTTGGAGTGGAAGTGACCTAGGAGAGTGGTCCACCCACAAGCGCCCACCAGCCTATGTTCAGAGGGGTAAATAATTGAAGGGCAGGTCACACGAGCCCGCCCCACGTCACAGGATGCCTTCCCCACAGGGTCTGGTTACGCCCCAGATCGCACTGACATCCCAGCTAGTGAATAATTAAGCGGCCACCTCCTCCCAGGCGGGCCTCTATCCACAGGCCCCACTCCACAGTGCCTTGCTCCCGCTCAGCACCCACGGAGACCGGCCCCGTGCTCCCAGCCCCCGTACGGCTGCTACACTGCCTCTCCAGTCCCAGCACAGCTGTCCATGGCTCCCGAGATGGAGCAGTTCTACAGGTCTACCATGGCTATCTACAAGGTGAGCACATGGGCCCCGGGCAGAGAGTGGAAGTCAGGCTTCCTCTGAGAATAAAGGGTGAGCCCGGACTGCGTGTGTTCTGGGAAGGACACCAGGCTGGCTGAGCTCTGGGCATGGAGTATTCCTGGGAAGAGTCAGCTGCACACCAGTCGTCTCCTCCTGCTCCCAATCAAGGTGGGACAGGGCCTGGTAACCAGGGTGGCTGTAGCTCTGAGCAAGGGCCTGAATAGCTGAGCCTAAGAGGCGGGAGTCCCCACAGGAAGAAACCAGCCAGGTAACGGGAACACTTTCTCCCTCTTTTTTTTTTTTTTTTTGAGTCATTTAAAAAGTTTATTTTAAAAAACAGTTTCAAATTTAATCTGTGATAAATGACAATTACAAATATATGCACTTCATACTTATGCAGGCAGTGATGAAGCCATACTGAAGTTCTCTTTAGTAATATCTCCATCATTCTAATTCCTGTTTCTCCCTCTTTTTCTCTCATTTCTGAGCCCCTCACTCATACTTCCTACCTCACCTCAAGAAGGGTTGCTGCAGTCTTCTTAGACTTTTATCAAGTACTGAGCGTATGCAGGGCTTTTTCCCATGGAAGCCTCATGTCACCCTACGCATGGGATAGAAAATAATCACCCTCTTGGACGGATGGGAAAACTGAGACCACAGAGGTTGAACAGCTTGTTCAAGGTCACAGAAGGAGGAAGAGGTGCTGCTGGGATTTGAATCAAGACCCAAGTCCAAGTCCAATTCCAACCAAGGGTTGTCTCCACTACCCATGGTGCTCTCCAATGGGCTACTGCCCAGGGTGGCCCATAGGGACCCACAGCAACCCAGCCATAGCCTTTATCCCAGGAGTCTTTTCTTTGATAAGGGCAAGATCTGTCCCCACATCTGAGGTGTAGCCCCTTGTGTCTAACCTGGTGAGGCCTCTGCACAGGGCAGGGCAAAGCCACACCCAGCCAGGCCACATCGGGTGAACAGGCTTTGGCCTGTGGGAGGAGGTGAACCTTTGAAGTGCAGTATCTCGGGCAGGACCCAGGTCCTATAGGGCAAGTGTGCAAGCAGGAGCTGGCTATGAGGATATCCTGCCTGGCATGTGCCCCCGAAAGATGGCCTTTGAGGCCTTTGCAGCTGAGAGCTAGGATTCTGGGTTCTTGGTGGGCTCCCAGGATCTGGAAGCTTCTAGATGGGTCTGGGTGCCTCCATTCATCGGTCCTTGTTCTCCCTCTCATGGCCGGCTTCCCTTGCCCTTGGGTACAGAGCATCATGGAGCAGTTTAACCCCGCCCTGGAGAACCTGGTGTACTTGGGCAACAACTACCTGCGGGCCTTCCATGGTGAGTGCCCCCTCAGTGCCCAGCCCCTGCACGAGCCAGTACCCCAGCCCATAAATCTGCCCTCCATACAACCACTGGACTCAGCCTTGGCCCCACACCCACCTTCCTCACCTCACACCCATGCACCAGAACTGTCTTCTGCATGCCCCACTCTATCCCTGGTGCCCTGTCCCCAGGTCTCTCACACAGGTGTGGAGAACCTGCTCAGCACCAAACCTGGGCACTTGTCCTTGATTATTCTCCTCTAAGCAGTGCCACAGCTGCACACACACCCACCCAGAGTATTCTCTCTCTCTCTCTCTCTCTCTCTCTCTCTCTCAAGGCCCACAGTGTCCACTCCACATGCTCTCCAGACCAAAAGAGGAACCTCAGTGGGTGGGCTGATGGAGGTTGGGATCTGATGTGGCCCCTGTCTCCTGCAGCACTGTCTGAGGCGGCCGAGGTGTACTTCAGAGCCATTCAGAAGATCGGGGAGCAGGCCCTGCAGAGCTCCACCTCCCAGATTCTGGGTGAGGTGCACTCCTCCACTGCACACCACTTTCTTGGGCCTGGGGGTATTCCAGCTCTCCTGCCTCCATCTGTGTTACTGAAACCCTCTTAGGCCGGAGGCCTGCCTTTGCCCATTTTCTGGAGTCCAGAGAGGGCTCTTTTTGCACACTCACCCTTCCAGAAGCCCTGTACACCTGACTCAGGCCTGCAGCCCAGCACCCAGTTTTTCATTCTGGAGCCCAATCCCACCCCCTCACTCCTTGTAGTGCTGATCCAGAGCTGGGTGAAGCGCTGCCAAGAGCCAGATGGGAAATTCTCGGACTTTGGTCCTCTGCTGAGTTCTGGTGGGAAGAGGGCGGGCAGGCAGGCTCCTCACACTGAAGGCAGCTCCATCCTGCCTCTAGGGGAGATCCTGGTGCAGATGTCTGACACCCAGCGGCACTTGAACTCAGACCTGGAGGTGGTGGTGAGTATTAGTCACCAGGGCCTGGCTGTTACTCAAGCAAGTGGGCTGCATTTCTGGAGAATGAGAGCCCAACCTTTCAGAACCATTTCCCAGGGGGGACTTCCTGGCCCTTAGCAACACGAAAACCATGGCCACCTTCCCAGGGTCCTGGCTGGGCACATTTGATGGAGACTTGAGCAGGCCTAGAAGCCTGGTGCCTTTTCTGCCTCCATTTTACAGAGGAGGAAACTGAGTCTCAGCTAGTCATCACTCCAGATTCTAGAGTGTGTGTGGGCGGGGGGAAGGGAAGCTGGGAAGAGAAAGGGCCATCGCCCAAGTTCATCAGCCCTAGAAGCAATCCCTCCTGCCCCCAGCCCCTCCTTCCTCTCTGGGACTCTCAGGAATCAGCCACAGTGATCTGACCATGTCACTTCAAGAGTAAAAGTCTTCCACACCTCCAGTGCCCACAGAAGGAAACATAGCTCCTCTGCATAGGGTCCCAGGGCCTCCCCATTCAGCAATTCCTCTCCACACCCCTAGCCAGAGCCCTGCCACCCTGAGGAGCCAGCCCTTTGCAGATATGGTCCCTGGGCTGCTGACCTACTCAGTCTCTTGACCTAGAACCACCAGCTCCTTCCCTCTCCTTCCAACACAGTTGTCCCCTCCCCCATGGCTCCTCTCCTGATCCCCAGCAGATGCAGTCACATGGCCCTCCTGACTCCAACAGATGTTTCTATTTGTTCTTAGTGCGTGGTAGGTAGCTAAGAAAGGAAGCTCTGCAGTGGAGCACCTGGGTTCAAAGCCCAGCTCCACTAGTTACCCACTTTGTGCCCTTGAACGCTGTGCCTCAGTTTGCCTATCTGAAAATGGAGGTAATCAAGCTGCCTTGTAGGGTCCTTGAGGGGATGGAGTGAATGAATAAGTGTAAACCGTTTTCCCTGACACCTGCAGCCCCAGGTACCTTAGCTGAGATAAGCGGAAGTAGAATTTACCTTGCCCGTTTCTGCTCCTCCCAAGTCACTGAGCCTACAAGGGCTGCGATGGTCCTCTTTTCTCTGTAGCTCCCGACCTGGAGGGAAGCAGGCTCTGAGGAGGGCTTCCCCGAGTAGGAGGGAGAGAGTGAGCTTTGGCTGGATGGTAACAAGGAAAGGGGCTTCCAGAAAGGCACAGCAGTGGGTGAAAGTCAGCCAGAGTCTGAGACCCAGACAGAGTCAAGAAGCAGGGTAGGTGCTGATGGTGAGAGCCTTGGAACATTCAGAAGGGAATTTCAACTAACTGTGACAGTCCCTGCTCTCAGACTTACAGGTCACGGTGCTCTTTGGGGGACACCGTAAAATATTGTTTGGTGTGGAGATCGATTTTGCTAGCAGAAAATGTGCTTCCCACCCACGCAGTACAAAACTATTCCCGAGCCCTTTGGGTTCAGGAACTCCACAGACGCTTTTGGTGTAGCACTAAGTCCCACTGCCCCTTTGGGCTTTGGCATTGGTTATAGAGCCTGTGTCTTCCTGTCCTTGTGATCAATGACTCTTTGTGTCCCTGTGGCACACCTGGGCTGGGCAGGGACGAGTGTCACCCAGGCCTGCTCCGTAAGGAGAGCTACACTCTCCAGGCACCAGCATCTTGGCTGTGACAAGTGGCCAGAGTCCCCAGCCAGAGCAGTAGCAGGCAGAACAGTTCCAAAGGTGGTCTCCACTTGGGCTCATTTGTTCAAAACCAGTTTCCTGCCCAGTGCCAGGTATTGTTGAAGACACCAGGAATACAGCAGACAGAAATCCCTGCTATCCCACAGAGGGGTCAAGCCAAACCCGTGGCCAATGACTGTAAAACACGCTATGGAGAAAAAGAGGGCAGGGATAGCAAGTGTTTGGGAGATGCATTTTCTAACAGATGTGGAAGGAAACTGTCACTAGAAAGGGAGGGAGCACGAGAAAGGCTGAAGGAGCTGGGGGGCCAGGCAGGGGTGTGGCAGGGGACTGGCTGGCAGACAGAGGGAGCAGCAGGGAAAGGGGGGGTGCAGCAGGAGAGCCAGGGGAGCCATTGAGGGCCACACCTGTGTGTGAACGTAGCACTCTTAGTGGGTTTTGAGCAAAGATACAATAGAATCTGACTTAAGATTTGTGGGTTTTTTTTAAACTTTTTAAAAATTTCTGACTGAAAAGCAGAAAATCTTGTGGAACACATTAGAGTTTAATGACTCATTATGAAACAAACCAGCCTTGAAGTTATCTTCCAGGTCTAGGAAGATAATCTTCTCAGGAGCCCCCCATGTGTCCGCATCAAAATCAGCCTTTCCCTCCCCTCAAAAGTGACCACTATCTGTGCTGATGCTTCCTGTGTTCCTTCACAGCTTATCACCTGAATGTGCAAGTCTAGCCACTAGAATGTGTTCGTAAAATGTTTGAGTCTCTTTTAACTGACTGGTTCCTTTGCATCTGTTCCTTTCCTTTCTTTGCTGAGGATCCCGGCCTGGCTTGGCCTCCCAGAGTCTTTGGAAGGCTCTGACTGCTCGCCCCTGGTGCAGTTCAGCTGCTCCTCTGGCCTCTGGGTCCCCAGGCCTGATCAGACTAGGGTTCCATACCATTGACCAGCCTGGCAGGGTTCTGGGTCCTTCCACCAGGAGGTACTCCGTGTCTAGACACATTTGTGCATGAGTTACACGGTGCTGCCTCAACTGTCTTGCAGAGGAGGGTTAACTGGAAGAGACTGGCTGCCCTCTGCATATTGTATGTGCTTCAGGACAATGAGTTTGAGCCCTGTCATCCTCCGAAGGTGACCAATTAACTTGATTTTTTTTTTTACCAGTGTCATTATTATAGTTGTATTTTCACTATATATAATTATATATAGTTATATTTTCACTATCACCAGCATCATAGGTTTAAACCTATTTGATGTATTTCAGTCCCTTGCGATTAGTATCTTTATTAACAGTGAAAACGGCTCACCTTTGGCCAGTGGAAGTCTCATCCCCCTGCCTCCTGGGTGCTTGTGACACCACCCTGGTAGTTCTGGTAGCTTCCCTGCTGCCCAGCAGGACAAAGCACTCTAGACTCATCTGCTCCTTTTGCTGCTTTTGACATGGGGTTAGCAGTTTGTCCACAGGCCCTGTTGTTATTTTCTGATGTTAGTGGCAACTGGTATTTTGAGAACATAACCTGGGCAGTAGGAGTGTTCCTTGCTAGTCCCTTCTATTCTTTTTCAGTGGCCTGTACTGTATAGTACACGGATACATGCATACATACGAATTCATACTCATGCATGTACGTGTGTTCACGCAAACATGCTGACACCATAGATACAGCAATCTCTCTGTCTTTGTGTGTGTGTGTTTGGTGCTGTGATTTGAACTCAGGGTCTCCACCTTGAGCCACTCCACCAGCCCATTTTTGTGAAGGCTATTTTCGAGATAAGGTCTCACAAACTATTTGCCTGGGCTGACTTTGAACTGAAATCCTCCTGATCTCTGCCTCCTGAGTATCTAGGATTACAGGAATGAACCACTGGCACTGGCTTTCTTTTCTTTTCTTTTTTTTTCTGGTGGGACTGGGGTTTGAACTCAGGGCTTTACATTTGCAAAGCAGGTACTCTACCACTTGAGCCACGCCTTCAGTCTATTTTGCTCTGGTTATTTTGGAGACAGTGGTCTTACAAACTATTTGCCCAAGCTGTCCTTAAACCCTGATCCTGCTGATCTCAGCCTCCATGTAGCTAGGATTGCAGGCACCTGGCTTGCAGTGATCATTCTTGAAAGAGTCTGTGGGTGTGCACCTTCATTTCTGATGGGCAGGTAACTAGGAGTAGAATTTGTGGGTCATACCACTGACATAAAGTTAGTTTTGTAAGAAACTTCCTGGGTTCTCCAGAGTCCTGTGATACTCTGTACTCCTGCCAGCAATGAATGAAAGACTGTAGCTCTGTATCCTGGCCAATGCCTGGTGTCGTCAGTCTATTTTAGCCTTCTAGTGGGTGGGATGGCCTCTCACTGGGTCTTTGTTTGCACATCCTGATGACTAATGACTTTAATGAGCTTGTTGAACATTTGTACATCTGCCACCAGCAGTTGTTTAGTGTTCTTCCCTTTTTATCAGGTTATACGTACTGTGGACTTACAGGAGTACTGCAGTTGGTTTTTGAGATAAAACCTCTCTAGCCCAGGTTAGCCTTAAACTCATTAAGCACCCCCATGCCTGGCCTTACAGGAGTTCTTCATATAGTCAAGATATGAGTCCTTAGTGGGTATATGTGTGGTGGATACTTTTTCCCAATATGTAGGTTGTCTGTGTATTCATTTTCTTAATAGTGTCAGTCTTTGATGAGCAGAAAGTTTCAATTTTGTAAATAGCTCATGTTTATGTCTTAACCAAGAAATCGTCACCTACCCCATGGCACAGAGAGCCAGTGGGGCACAGGTTTCTTCCAGAAACTCTGTCTTCTGGTCTTTACACTTAATATCTATGAGCCATCTCAAATTTATTTACATGTGTGGACTCAGGGTTCATTTTTCCTTTTGGATAATCAATTGCTCCAACACTATTTTTTTTCCTTTTCTTTTATTATTCATATGTGCATACAAGGCTTGGTTCATTTCTCCCCCCTGCCCCCACTCCCTCCCTTACCTCCCACTCCACCCCCTCCCTCTCCCCCCAACCCCCTCAATACCAGCAGAAACTATTTTGCCCTTATTTCTAATTTTGTTGTAGAGAGAGTATAAGCAATAACAGGAAGGGACAAGAGTTTTTGCTGGTTGAGATAAGGATAGCTATACAGGGCATTGACTCACATTGATTTCCTGTGAGTGTGTGTTACCTTCTAGGTTAATTCTTTTTGATCTCACCTTTTCTCTAGTACCTGTTCCCCTTTTCCTATTGGCCTCAGTTGCTTGTAAGGTATATGCTTTAGTTTCTCTGTGTTAAGGGCAACAAATGCTAGCTAGTTTTTTAGGTGTCTTACCTATCCTCACCCCTTCCTTGTGTGCTCTAGCTTTTATCATGTGCTCATAGTCCAATCCCCTTGTTGTG